CTGCATCGCTGGAAGTGTTTTGTTATCAAAGCACTTTCGGTTTATTTCAAGACCATTTTCAAATAAAAGGAACTGAAGTTGGGATTCCAAGAGTTTATATACATATATACAGTTTTAATACACTTTTTTTAACTACTTAAACTAGTACTAGAACAGTTTGTTTATTTAAACTATTAGCCAACTTTTACATATCATCGAGCAAACCAAACTGATCAAGGAAAGGCAGTATTACGCCCAATTTCTTTTTGATCGCCTTGGACTCGTACACGGAGTCCTTAAACCACATTCCACTTGCAGAGCTGGATAGGTCCTACTCAATGGATGCATCTTCCTTTCCATCGTACTGCATCACGAGCTCGAAGATCAAGGAACAGAAGACAGCTGTGGATATTAGTAGGATTTCAAATATATATTTTGGAAATCAAGGGACACTCCACTCACCATAGAAACTCCTGGCACGGAACTGCAACTGGAACTCAAACAAACTGGGAACCCTGCCCGAGAAATTTAACTTCCTGAGAGCCTCCACCAGCTTGTAGTAATAGAATTGCCGTAGCTCCGTCAGTCTTTCCAGGCGGAGATTTTCCTGCAGAGCAGTGGCGAAGAAATAATGGAGATCAATGACCGGAGAGTTCCACACGCAGAATTGGAAGTCAATGAAGATGGCATTCGAGAGATGACCAGCTGCATCGTACTGAAACATAAAATTTGTGGTCCAGAGATCTCCATGTGCCAGTGTCAGAAATTCTCCCGGGTTGATAGATGTAGATCGTTCCACATAGTCCAGCAGATGCTACACAAGCCGATCTATCTTAGCCTTGTAGCGCTGACCCTGATCGGGGTCTGAGCCATGGGATCGCGACAAGGCCTTCAGAAGGTTCGGCCAGAACGGCTCCGGCTCCATGGAACTTGGCCAGTTTTTCGAGCACTAGGTGCGTATGCTCTAGATACAATTTCCTCCGGCGATCGGCCACGTTCGTGGCAAACATCTCCTTCCTTCATCTCCTTCAGCTCTTTTCGTAATAGATCCGCCAGTTGAGGCAGGATCTCTTCGTACATATCCATTTCGCGAGTATACACGCCATAAAGCGATTTGTCCTTGAAGTAGATGCGCAGCTTCTCCTCGACATAATCTGGAGTGAGCCAGGAAGGCGCCGGGTGGGGGTCTCCTCAGGCATGGTCTCAACCTTAGCTCAGAGCTTCTTTTTCTGTTGGGCCACCACCTTGGTCTCCCGGTTTTAAATAGCCTTATCATGTCCCAAGTGCAGTGCCAGTATCTTGTGCAAACAACACTCGAGTCTAGCCGAATGAGCAAATAAATTCATAGCAGTGCACATTTGCTTTTATTGTGACTGCAAGTCTAGTGGCGTTAATGAAAATTTATAACTAATTCTTGGAAACTGTTGAAATATTAAATACTGATATTTTAATCTGTGCAATTTTCAATAATAAATAAATGTTTATAGTAGAAAGCTATGTAGGGGAGAGTGGGGTTAGGTGAACCATGGGGATAGATGAACCACTACAAATATTTCACCTTCTGTCATGATTTTGTGAGCCATCTATATGTGTGTTGCTTACTTAGTCGATATCCTAACCTCACACCCACGCACAGTCGCGTCAAACGATTGTTGTCGTTTTTATCGCTAATCGAAGTTTGTATTCGCCGTTTGCAGCTTCAATTGTGACCTAACGTTTTCTTGGAAAAATTTTATCGTGCTTCGCCAGTGGCATTAAACTTCATAAAATTGTATTTTATCGTAAGAGGACGCAAATTATGATATTTCCACGGATAGCTCACGCAGTTTAAATATTTCATGTTTTCTTCAAATCACTTCTAATTGGCTAATGACTTGTGGGGATACATGAACCAGTACTTGTGGGGATACATGAACCACCTTTCCAAATTTGATTTTCTAAATTTTCCATCGCAGGCTGCCAAAATGGTGAGAAACTACAAACAAAATATCAAATCAGGTTTTGAAAAGAGTGGAATTTTTCCCTTCAACCCACAAAAGTTTTCTGCATCTGACTTTCTTGGGAGTGATTACACTAACAGAGACATGAACACAGAAAACACTCACAATCAAAATTCTCAACAAATGGCAATCGTACAAGATGAAAATGTGCTCCTGAACACTCCTCCGAGGAACAATACCTCAGTCGAGTCCGCAATGTCTCCCAATATTGACCTGGATGATGTTCCCTTGACGATCAGAATGCGTGGGTTCTTGCAAGGAAAATCGCCAGAGGACTTACGAGGGTACCCAAAGGCTAAACCACGAAAACAGACGACTCGGGGAAGAAAACGAGGAAGGAGTATCATTGCTACGGACTCACGGCAGAAAAATTGATCGCGGAAAAACACAATCAGAAAACTCAAGAAAACCTTCGAAAAAAGAAAGAATAAAAACAAAAATAAGAATAAATAGCAATATTGTAATGTTTGATTTCATGCTGTAAAGGTGCAATGTTTATATTCGAACAGAAAGAAGGCATGTACAAAGAAAAAAATTACACTTTTTTTATACAATTGTAGTTTTTGTGTTATCCTGATAGGTGGTTCAACTATCCCCCATAGGGAAATTTGGAAAGCAAATAAACTTTACAAAACAAAAGATAGTATTACTGCATAATACTCAATATTCCAAGGAATGTGGGCTCTTTAAGATTTCTATATAGGCAGACCCTTACGTCGAATAGTTCAGTCATAACAATTTTTATAAAAAAAAGTGGTTCACCTAACCCCACTCTCCCCTACTATATATTTATACAAAAAAAACCCGCGATAAATACGATATCGAAAATATCTTAATCTTTGATATATCGAAATTGTAAATATTGAAAACATCCCATTTAAAATGTTATTTTATTTTTTTTTATCTCAGACATGCATATGGGCATTTCCACAGAAATGTCAACCGCGGCCAAAAAACTTAAACTTCTCTAAAATGTTTTTTTTCCAACATAGTAACATTAAGAAAAAGTCAATTGATTAAATTTGAAGGGCTTTATCATATTCTAAAACAAATTTCGAAATATTCGAATGCATATTCGCACAAACACGATTTTTCATTATTTTGATGAAAAACGTAATAAAAATGGGCCTGTTTTCTTTTGATAATTACATCCAAACCGAGGCATTATGCTTTGACTGTATTTTACTAACATCACAAGAAGAATGCAAAAAGTCGAAATAAAATGGATATATGCTCTTCTAATTTACTTAAATAGTAAAAAATTACATGCAAAGTATGATGATAAAAACTGTCGCGTGCGACCTGTCGCGTGCGACACCTTATTAAAATTCAATAAAAAATAAACTACGCTAAATTTCTGATTGTAAATCAAAGCATATGAAAATGACATTATCGCATAACATTTTAAAATTTGTTTCATTAAAATATTCCCAGCCGTTTCGCTAAAATCAGTGTTTAAACAGCTCGCCGCGTAAAGTGACTTCTGTTTTTGTCGCGTGCGAACCCTTCAATTTTTTTTAAATTTCTTAAATTTGAGCATACACTCAAAATCAACAATAACACCAATTATAGCCCTAGGCAAGAGCTATAAGTTAATATTTTTAAAAGAAATAAAAATAAAATGTACCATACTTTTTTTTGTTTGAATGCGTACGAATGTCGCGTGCGACACCATGGAAATGCCCATATATTAATATAAAGTTTAAATATTGAATTATTTATAGTATAACAGACATTCGGGTTAAATATCAGTGAAGTATTAATCAATGTATTTCAATTCAATCAAGAGTTTGTTCTTGTATTTTATAAATTAAGTACTTCATAATGCCTAGTTTTACTAGCTAAAAAGAAGTGTATCATCACGTTGAGTTATAAAATCTTTTATTTTAAGATTTTTCATCTTATCAGTCTTGCTAATTGTAAGTCACATATTTACAAATAAAAACAAGAGACTTGTATTCTTATTTTTTCGCACTAAAACTAATAAATCAATGCTGTCAAGTAACACCTTTATAGCAAATAATCTTTTTATACCCTTGCAGGGTATTATAATTTCAGTCAGAAGTTTGCAACGCAGTGAAGGAGACGACCTATAAAGTATATATATTCTTGATCAGCATCAACAGCCGAGTCGATTTAGCCATGTCCGTCTGTCCGTCTGTCCGTCTGTCCGTCCGTCTGTCTGTCTGTCTGTCTGTTTCTACGCAAACTAGTCCCTCAGTTTTAAAACTATCTGAATGAAACTTTGCATATAGTCTTCTATATGCTCTCACTGCTATATATGTCGGAACGGGCCGGATCGGACGACTATATCATATAGCTGCCATACAAATGTTCGATATATTTTTAGAAAAAAAATTATAACTTGGCTGTTTTTCAATATTTTTGCACCATTTTTATATTATTTCTGAATTTTGGTAAAAATTTTATGAAAATCGGACGACTATATGATATAGCTGCCATAGGAACGTTCGGGAAATTAATAGGAAAAAAATTATAGCTTCGTTGTTTTTCAACGTATGTTTATCTACTCTGAGATATAAGCTTTTTTTATTATTCTAGAATTTTAGTATAAATTTCATAAAAATCGGACAACTATATCTTATAGCTGCCATCGAAGCGATCGGTAAATGTATAAAATATGTAAAGCTGGGAATGTAAAACTGAAACTGTCAAACTGTAAACATAATAAGTATAGGTGAAATGTAATGAAACACTGTTTTGTGAGTCTTTTCAGCATTTAAATCTATAATATAAACATCGAAACTAATCTACAAGGGTATACAAACTTCGGCGTGCCGAAGTTAGCTTCCTTTCTTGTTATTATTTATATATTTGTTTATTATAGCTTACACTCTTATCAGCCTAATTATCATTATCAAATTCTTTAATTAAATGTAAAAGAAACCCGGATATGTATGTGCGACCTCAAAGTGAACGATATAATTTTCAATATATTTTAAATTACGTATAAGTAATGTTGCCCATGACAATTTTGTTTTGCAAATAAAATCAATATGATTTAGGCTAAGAAAAAAATATGTTTATTTTATTTTTAATTTACATTTCATCTAGCAATCCCAAATGATCAAGAAACGGCAGACTGTCTTGCAACTTCCTTCTCATTTCCTCCGATTGATAAACATCGTTTTTAAATCGCATTCCCTTCTCGGAAGACGACAGGATCTGCTGCATAGACGCCTCCTCCTTGCCGTTGTACACCATCGTTGGCTCGAAAATAAGCGAAGCAAAAGCAGCTGTACAAAGAAAATACATTAATATCATTTATCAATGACAAAATAAGCAGTAATCCATTCACCATAAAAAGCCTTAGTACAGAACTGCTGCTGGAACTCGAATAAGCTGGGAATCCGGCCAAAGTACTTGACCTTCTTGAGGGCAGCCACCAATTTGTAAAAGTAGAACTGAATCAACTCCGATTGCTTTTCCCGCCAGAGATTCTCGTGTATCGAGGTCGAGAAGAAGTAGTGCAAATCGATGGCTGGAGAGTTCCATGCGGTGAACTGGAAGTCAATGAAGATGGCATTCGAGGGATGACCTTCTGCATTGTACTGAAACATTACATTGGTGGTCCAGAGATCTCCGTGAATCAATGTCACAAAGTCTCCGGGATTAATTGAGGTCGCATGCTCGCCGTAATCCATTACACGATCAACCAAACGGTCGATCTTCGCTTGGTAACGGTACTTAAGATCCTGATCCAATTCCAGGGAACGGGACAAGGCCTGCAATAAGTTCCTCATGATGGGCTCATACCCACGGGTATGTTTGTTAAAGAATACGCGTTCATAGTTATCTGCAAAGATCTTCGGCTGTCGTTCAGCCATAGCTGCTCCGGCGGCATGGAAACATGCCAGCTTCCCAAGCACTAGGTGAGTGTGATCTAAATCCAGCTTCTTCAACCTGCAGGCCACCCTGTACTTTTCTAGTGACAGATCCTCGAAAATGATCGAGTCCCTTGCCCGATCCACATTCACAGTTGCCGCAAATAACTTCCGAAAGTCAGTCAGCTCATTCCTCACCACATCGGCTAGCTTTGGGAGAATCCGCTCGTACATATCCATCTCTCTGGTGTAGACACCGTAGCTCATAAGCACACAGGCGGCAGGATCCTTGTCAGCAAACGTGGTCTTAACCAGAAACTGAGTGGATTGCTTGTTCTTCGAAGCACAAGTGGTGTACTCCACAATGATACGGGTCATCACACTAGCATAGTTCTCCCCGTTCCCAATTGCTGGCTTGATGTGCAGATTCATAAGCTTGAGGGAGTCATCCTTGAAATAAGTACGTAGCTTTTCTTCCACGTACTCTGGAGTGAGCCAAACAGGAGCTGGATGCGGTTTCAGGTTGCTTTCCTGCGACATTGCGCGATCAGTGGCGTTTTACATACTGCATTTCATGATAGAAGGTGTGCTCCTTTTATAGGTTCTTAAGTGTTTCGATAAGGAAATAAATTGCAAGTATCTTTAAATTCCAACTGATAAAAAATCAGCACTTAAAGATACTCTTTTAATGCACATTCTGTAAGTTCTTTTATTATAAAATAACAGGTTTTTGATTATTGTTTTCTATGCCTTTTCATGAAAGCATTTCTTACAAGATTTTACATTTCATCTAATAATCCAAACTGATCGAGATATGGCAACGTGGAGGCTAGTATCTTTTGCATATACTCGGATTGATAAAGTGCGTCCTTAAACCGTAATCCTTTCTCGCTTGTAGATATGATCTGCTCATAGGACGCCTCTTCCTTGCCATTGTACACCATGGTGGGTGCGAAGACCAAGGAGGCAAATGCAGCTGCAGGAAAGGATTTATTTAATATCTGCGCTAAAATAATATTTACACTTCACTCACCGTAGAAAGCTTTAGCCCGAAACTGCTGTTGGAACTGAAACAAGCTAGGAACGTAGCCTGAATACCTCAGCTTCTTCAGGGCCTCTGCCAGCTTTTTATAATAGAACTGCACCAAAGCTGGCTGATGCAGCAGACGAAGATCTTCTTGAATAGAAGAGGAGAAGAAGTAGTGCAGATCAATGACCGGAGAGTTCCACACGCAAAACTGGAAGTCAATGAAGATGGCATTCGAGGGACGACCCTTTCCGTCGTACTGGAACATGATGTTGTTAGTCCATAGATCTCCATGAGCCAAAGTCACAAAATCTCCCGGTTGATTCGAAGCCGACTGCTCGCCATAATCCATCAGACGATTGATCATGCCATCGATTTTCGCTTGATAGCGTTCCTTAAGATCCTGATTCAACTCAAGGGAGCGGGACAGGGCTTGCAGGAGAACCGTCATGATGTGTTCGTATCCTCGAGTGTGTTTGTTGAAGAAACCCCTATCGTAGTTCTTCTCAAAGATACCCGGCTGACGCTCTGCCAGAGCTGCTCCAGAGGCATGGAAAGAGGCCAACTTCTCAAGAAGCAATTGGGTGTGCTCTAGGTCCAGTTTCATTAGCCGGCAAGCCACCTTGTACTTCTCCAGCGATAGATCCTCGAACATTATTGAGTTCCTTTCTCGATCTACATCTACGGTGCCAGCAAACATCTTCCGAGAATCCCCGATATCTTCCTTAACCAATTCCGCCATGTGAGGCAGAATTTGCTGGTACATATCCATTTCACGGGTGTAAACTCCGTACTCCGAGAACAAGTTAGAGGACGGATCCTTGTCGGCTAAGGTGCTTTTCAACAGGAATGTTGCAGGCTGTCTTTCCTGCGAGTCCTTTGTGGTGTACTCCACATTGATACGTGTCATCACACTGGCGTAGTTCTCCCCATTGCCAATTGCCGGCTTGATTTCGAGCTGTTCCACATTCAAGGACTCATCTTTAAAATAGGCGCGCAGCTTCTTCTCCACGTACTCCTCGGTGAGCCAAGCAGGCGCTTTGTGGGTGAGTGTTTCCGGCATGATGTAAAGCTCAAGGGCTCACTGGGTTGTTTGATGGTTCTGTTTGGGGAACACAGCTCTTTTATACAGCATGAATGATACTGATAGCCCTTTGCTGAGTGAATATCCCCTCTAACACCTTAATTGTCAGCAATTTAGAAGCTTACAAGTCGAGAACAAATACGAGAATGCGATCTAAGAACACGTCAGCTAAGATAACTAAGACATTTTATATACATATTATTATATTATATTTAAGCGTTAAGTTGAGACACGTATCTTTAAAATAATAATAATTATTAATAATATTTTAACTAAATTATTTTCGAAAAATAAGAGTAAGAAGAGCTAAAACATACGTTAGGCAATTTTTTATTTAAATTCTTAATTTTAAGCAAAAGATGCTTTATATTCATGTTTATTGTTTATCATTTTCTTATGCGCATATATTAAAATTTAATTCTATAAAAAAAAAATTAATGTTTAGGTTTGTTTTCTAAAGCTTAAAAAAGCTCTATTCCATTTGCTAAACAAAACATACCCTTGTTAAACAGGTAGCACTGAGCAAACATTGGGACTCGCGGAACTTGTTTAACTAGGGAATTAACTTAATTTTTTTTTACAATTTATAATCGTAAGTAAATAATCGTAAATATTAGCTTGAGTAAAACGTGTCCCAAGCCGACCAATTGGAGGCGAGTGAACAGATGGCGTGGGTGGATGGTGTACCCATAACAGCTTTTATTTTTCAATGGTTGACGTGGCCGAAGTATCTGATTATCTATAATTGTGAATATACCTGAAAATATCAGTGATTTGCATAATCATTCCTAAATAGCCAGTTAAAATATGTTATTAAACTGGATATTTCAATAAGAGATTGATCAAAAAATCTGGTTTACTACACTCATAAAAATATAGATTAAATAAAAACTTCTTTTTACTCACTTCTTTTTAATTAAAAAAAATTAACCTTGCATTTTTCTCAAAATCTAAGACTCGCCCTGGACTCCAATTTAACTGCAAATTTCTAAATATACGGGCCTCGGTAAAAAATTTTATGAATTTTCTACTCTTCCTTTTTTTATCCTCTAGAAGAAAAGGCCAATCATTTAAAAAGGCCTTAATAAAGGATATGTAAAATAAAGATTAATTTTATTGTTGTTTATAAAAAATCTATATTATAAATTATTAAAGAAAAGTATATTTGAAATAATACGTTTAAAAAATTGTATGGAAAAACTCACTTAATAACAGTATAAGTAACTAACAGATATATTTTCATTATTGGCTTTCTTTTATTCAGGTTATATGGGTCTGTTAAATACTTTGATAAAAAATATTGAAAATTTAAACTGATAGATAATCGGTACTAAAAGAATTGCAAAAAAAATGTTGCTTAGATTTTACGATATAGAAGCTTGGCCCCTTCAATCAATAAAGTAAATTTTTTTAAATAAAAGATAAATAGATAGAGTAAATTATAATTATCTCATGAATTTTACATTTAATTGAAAGTAATAACTTCATGAAAAACATTTATTTATTTATAAGTTTTTACATTTCATCTAACAACCCAAACTGATCAAGAAACGGCAATGCTGAAAGAAGTAACTTCTGCATATACTCGGATTGGTAAAGTGAGTCTTTGAATCGTAGTCCTTTCTCGCTCGTAGATATGATCTGCTCTATGGAGGCCTCCTCCTTGCCATTGTAAACCATTACAGGTCCGAAAATTAACGTGGCAAATGCAGCTGTGAAACGAATTTATTAATATCAGTTCTGAAATATTGTTTATTCTTTACTCACCGTAAAAAGCTTTGACCCGAAACTGCTGTTGAAACTCGAACAAACAGGGAACGTGACCTGAATACCTCAGCTTCTTCAGGGCCTCCGCCAGCTTGTAATAATAGAATTGAACCATCTCCGGCTGATGGTGCAAACGAAGATCTTCTTGGATCGAAGTGGAGAAGAAGTAGTGCAAGTCAATGACCGGAGAGTTCCACACGCTGAACTGGAAGTCGATGAAGATGGCATTGGTGGGATGACCCTTTCCGTTGTACTGGAACATAATGTTGGTGGTCCACAGATCGCCATGAGCCAAAGTCACAAAATCCCCGGGATTAATGGATGCTGATCGCTCGCCATAGTCCATCACATGATGCACCATTTGATCAACTTTCGCTTGATAACGTTCCTTAAGATCCTGATTCAACTCAAGGGAGCGGGACAGGGCCTGCAGGAGAACCGTCATGATGTGTTCGTATCTTCGAGTGTGTTTGTTGAAGAAGCCACGATCGTAGTTCTTCTCAAAGATCCCGGGCTGACGCTCGGCCAGAGCTGCTCCTGTGGCATGGAAACTAGCCAGCTTCTCAAGAACAAGATATGTGTGTTCTAGGTCCAGTTTCTTCAGTCGACAGGCCACTTTATACTCCTCTAGCGACAGATCCTCAAAAATGATAGAGTCCCTCTCACGATCTACATTCACAGTGGCCGCAAACAGTTTCCGAGCGTCCCCGATATCCTTTTTAACCAAATCTGCGAGGTGGGGCAGGATCTGCTCGTACATATCCATTTCTCTTGTATAGATCCCATACTCCGAGAGCAAGTCAGAGGCCGGGTCCTTGTCGGCGAAGGTGGTTTTCACCAGGAATGTAGCAGGCTGCCGTGCCTTCATATCCTTTGTGGTGTACTCGACATTGATACGAGTCATCACACTGGCGTAGTTCTCCCCATTGCCACTTGCCGGGTTGCTTTCGAGCTGTTTCACATTCAGGGACTCATCCTTGAAGTAGACACGCAGCTTCTTCTGCACGTACTCCTCGGTGAGCCAAGCAGGCGCCTTGTGGGTGAGTTCCTCCGGCATGATGTGATGTTCAGGTGTTCCTTTCTCTGTATGACGATCTCTCACCAGACCCACGCTCCTTATATATGACTACTAGATGTGCATGATTCTGATAGCTTGTGCTAAAAGCATCCCATTTAACCCCTTAATTGCCAGCAATTGAAAAGCTTACCAGTCTTTGCCGAGAGCAAATACAATGAAAATATCAAGGTACACGTCAGCACGTCCCTTAAAAATCAGCTAAAACAATTTACATTTAATTATTATTTATGCTTATAGAGGTATATTAAAAAGAAAAATATTTGGATGTTATAAAAGTAGAAAATCTTGGAACATTAAGCCAATAATAATTGCATAATTATAAGCGCATTTCTAATTAATTATACTAATTCTTTAAAATTTGTACACGACACCCAGGCCCTAAAAATCCAGCTGAAATAACATAAATTTAATTTTTAACATTGCTATATTTAACAAATCTATTTAGGTATGTATAATTAGAATAGAAGATCTTGGAACATTAATCCAACAACAATCCTTTGCATAATAATAAGCGCCTTTATATTTAATTATATTATTTCGTAAAATGGTGTTTACATTTTTAAATTATAGGAAAAATAAGACAATACCAAGAACGTGCTTTATTATTATTATCGTTATTGTGCAAACCCTACATTTCCTTAACTAACCAGAACATACCCATCAGGAAGAGGTAGCACTGAGCAAACATAGCGACTCCCGTAGCTTATTTATCTTGAGATTTAATTAGATTAAGGCACTAAGCCTTTACGGTTTATAGAAGCATTATGTTCGCCTAAGTAATTGAAGGTGAGTGCACAGATTACGTAGGTGGATGTTGTACTCTTAAGTGGTTGTTTTTAAGTGGTTGACGTGGCATTTGCATGTCTGTCTATCTGCTTATCTATAACTGTGAATATAAACAAATCCACTCATAAAGTTTGAGAAGAACACCATTGCATAATAGCAAATATAAAATTAAACAAAATCTGTGAAAAATAGTAATGGAAGTTATTTATAGCATTTTTCTGATTTTTATTAGCAAAATATTTTCATTTACCAATTATTTTGCACTTAACATTTCATCTAGCAATCCCAAATGATCAAGATATGGCAGTGTGTCTTGCAACTTCCTTTTTATTTCCGCCAATTGATAAACATCGTTCTTGAATCGCATTCCCTTCTCGGAAGACGACAGGATCTGCTCCATGGACGCCTCCTCATTGCCGTTGTACACCATCGTTGGCTCGAAAATAAGCGAAGCAAAGACAGCTGTAAAAAAAATACATTAATATAAAGGACACAATAAGCAGTAATCAATTCACCATAAAAAGCCTTAGTACGGAACTGCTGCTGGAACTCGAATAAGCTGGGAATCCGGCCAGAGTACTTGACCTTCTTGAGGGCAGCCACCAATTTGTAGAAGTAGAACTGAACCAACTCCGATTGCTTTTCCCGCCAGAGATTCTCGTGTATCGAGGTCGAGAAGAAGTAGTGAAGATCGAGGGCCGGAGAGTTCCACACGGTGAACTGGAAGTCAATGAAGATGGCGTTGAAGGGATGACCTTCTGCATCGTACTGGAACATCACATTGGTCGTCCAGATATCTCCGTGAGTCAATGTCACAAAGTCTCCGGGATTAATAGATGTCGATTGCTCGCCATAGTCCATTACACGATCGATCAAACGGTCGATCTTGGCTTGGTAACGCTGCTTAAGATCTGGTTGCAACTCTAAGGAACGGGACAGGGCCTCCAGGAGGTTCCTCATTATGGGCTCGTACCCACGAGTGTGTTTATTGAAAAATCCTCTATCAAAGTTCTCCTCAAAAATACCCGGCTGCCGCTCTGCGAGAACTGCTCCAGCAGCATGGAAATCGGCCAGCTTCTCAAGAACAAGGCGAGTGTGCTCCAGGTCCAACTTCTTCAACCTGCAGGCCACCTTGTATTTCTCCAGCGACAGATCCTCAAAGATAATCGAGTCCCGTTCGCGATCCACATTAACAGTGCCTGCGAATAACCTCATTGAATCCTCCAGCTCCCCTTTGACAATAACAGCTAGCTGAGGCAGGATCTTTTCATACATATCCATCTCCCGGGTGTATATTCCATAGTGCTTGAGCACGTGGGCAGCCGGATCCTTACTGGCAACAGTGGTCTTCACCAGGAAATTGGTGGCCTGCTTCTCCCCGGACTCTTTGGTGGTATACTCCACGTTGATGCGGGTCATTATACTGGCGTAGTTCTCTCCATTAGGTATTGCCGGCTTTACCTCCAGTTTCTCGAGTTTCAAGCTATTATTTTTAAAGTACACTTTCAGCTTGTCCTCGACGTAGTCTTTGGTCAGCCACTCGGGCGCCGGATGGGGCTTTTCCTCAGGCATTTTGAGATGCGAACCGTACCTCGGGGCAGTTATTTATGCTATCTTTCGTCAGAGGCTCAGCTCTTTTATAGATGTGTCTCAGCCTGAGACTCTCAGGGTACGTGATTATTATGATGATAATCTGTGTAAAAAATAACGCTCACCGAATGTCTTCGTTATCGTCGGTAATTGAAAAATTGACGAGTGTTGTTGAGAGCAAAAGTGAGAGAAAAATATAAATATAAATAACAGACAGATGCTCAAGCTAAAGCTTCTTTCTCTTAGAGAGTAACTGAAGCGTGCGTACATCAGCTGCATAGGTAGCTTTTTTATTTACATTATTTAGTGAGATCATGGAACCTCTAAAATATTACATTTACAGATAGTGGCGTCCTATACTTAGCCAGTGATTTTACTAGATAAAGACCTTAGTCTTTACACTTTATGTACTTATATGGACATATACACCATATGTAACGACTATTTCTAGTTAAGGATATGTCATTCAAGTCGGAAAGGTTTTTGGTTTAGGATTAATTAAAATAAAGAAAATTACTTATACGCCCCATGGGCTCAGTTAAGCAAATAAAATATTTATTTTATAAATAAATATCACATAACATCTAACAACCCAAACTGATCCAAATACGGCAGAGCATAAACCATCTTTTTCCTGATGTGCTCGGCCTGAAATACTGAATCTCTGAACCGGATTCCGCTCTCAGAGGCGGACATACCCTGCGCAATGGATGCCTCCTCCTTGCCAATGTACAGCATGCAGGGTTCAAAAATTAATGAAGAAAAGACAGCTGTGAGGAAATGTAAAAAAAACCATTATCAAAAAAAAAAAAAAAGTTAAAATACTCACAGTAAAACGCTCTTCGTTGAAATTGTAGCTGAAAATCGAATAAGCTTGGCACTTGGCCTGAGTACTTGAGCTTCTTCAAGGATGCCACTAGTTTGTAATAATAAAACTGAACCAACTCCGTCTGACGGTTCCACCGAAGGTTATCGTCCATTGCGGTTGAGAAAAAGTAATGCAAATCAATGGCCGGAGAGTTCCAGACGCTGAACTGGAAGTCAATTAGGATGGCATTGGTGGGATGATCCTTTTCGTCGTACTGGAACATGATGTTGGTGGTCCACAGATCGCCATGGGCCAGGGTAACAAAGTCTCCGGGATTTATTGAGGTGGACTGTTCACCATAATCCATCACATGATCAACCAAGCGATTGATCTTCGCCTGGTAACGCTGCTTAAGATCTTGATTGAACTCCAAGGAGCGGGACAAAGCCTCCAACAAATTTCTCATTGTGGGTTCATAGCCTCTAGTGTGCTTGTTAAAGAAGCCTCGATCGTAGTTCTTTTCAAAGATCCCTGGCTGACGTTTCGCCAAAACGGCTGCGGCGGCATGGAAATTGGCCAGCTTCTCCAGAACTAGATGTGTGTGCTCCAGATCAAGTTTCTTTAGCCTGTTTGCTACTTTATACTCCTCGAGAGAGAGATCCTCGAAGATGATGGAGTCCCTTTCACGATCCACATACACCGTTGCTGCGAACAACTTTCGCGAGTCCTCGATTTCATTCTTTACCATATCCGCCAGATCAGGCAGGATCCGTTCGTATATATCCATCTCTCTGGTGTAGATTCCGTAATCGGCAAGCAATTCAGATGTAGGATCCTTGTCGGCAAAGGTGGCCTTAACCAGAAAACTGGTTGCCTTTTTGATCTTTGAATCGGATGTTGTTGTGTACTCCACGTTAATGCGGTTCATTACACTTGCGTAATTCTCTCCCTTGGGACTGGCGGGCTTGATCTGGAGCTTGATTAATTTCAGGGAGTTATTCTTAAAATAAACACGTAACTTTTGCTCCACGTACTCCTCAGTCAGCCACGTAGGCGCCGGAAAATTGCCTTCCTCACTCATTCCTCAAACTTGGTGATTCAAGTTCTGAAACACTTTCATTAGGAACTCTGCCTTTATATAGCTTTGTAGTTGTCTTTATTGCAGTGGGACTAATGATACTGATAACTTACACTCATACCATAACTCACAGACAGTTTAAGTTAATGCCAGCTCTTAGTCTAATCTCGCTTTTCGGTCAAATGCATATATTTTAATTTAACAATTTCGTGCGAGAAAACATCACATTTCGTCAAGCAATCCCCAATGGTCCAGGAGCGGGAGCGTAAGATGCAACTTCTTTCGTACACACTCCTGCTGATAGATGTCATCCTTGAACCTCAGTCCGGTCTCTTCCTCGGAAATAATTTGCTCCAATGAAGCCTCCTCCTTGCCATTGTACAGCATCAATGGCTCGAAAATAAGGGAGGCAAAGACAGCTACGGAAGGAAATTAATTACAACCAGGACTAAATAAATTAATAAATAATAATAAATAAATCTCTCACCATAGAAGGCTCTCATGCGGAACTGCAGTTGAAAGTCAAATAAGCTCGGCACGTGACCGGAAAACTTAAGCTTCTTGAGGGCATCCACCAATTTGTAGTAATAAAACTGGATCAACTCCGGTTGGCTCTTCAGTCGGAGATTGTCGTGTATCGATGTGGAAAAGAAGTAGTGCAGATCAATGGCCGGGGAGTTCCACACGCTGAACTGAAAGTCTATAAAGGTGGCATTAATGGGATGACCCTCTCCGTCGTACTGGAACATGACATTGGTGGTCCAAAGATCTCCGTGAGCCAGGGTCAGAAAGTCTCCGGGATTGTTGGTCGTTGATCGTTCGCCATAGATCATCACACGATCGACCAATCTATCTATCTTGGCCTTATAGCGTTGACGCAGCTCCTCATCCAAGTTCAGGGAGCGAGATAGGGCCTTCAGCAGATTCGTCATAATGGGTTCATAGCCTCGGGTATGCTTATTATAGAATCCTCGGTCGTAGTTCTTTTTCAGTATACCGGGCTCCCGCTCGGCCAGGACTGCTCCGGCGGCATGCAAACTGGCCAGCTTCTCCAGCACCAGATGAGTGTGCTCCAGATCAAGTTTCTTTAGCCGGCAGGCCACCTTATATTGCTCCAGAGAGAGGTCTTCAAAGATTATGGAGTTTGTCTTCCAGTCGACGTTTACGGTGCCGGCAAATAGCTTCCGGTTATCCTGGATCTCGGATTTCACTAGCTCTGTCAGCTTGGGAATAATCCTCTGATACATGTCCATCTCACGGGTGTAGACCCCGTAATTAATAAGCACATGGGCAGCCGGATCTTTCTCGGCAAAAGTCGTCTTCACCAGGAAGCTTGTGGACCGTCTCTTACCCTTCGAGCCCTTGGTGGTGTACTCCACAGTGATGCGGGTCATAACGCTAGCGTAGTTCTCTCCGTTGGCAATGGCCGGTTTAATGTCCAATTTATCCAGCCTCAAGGAATCTTCTTTAAAGTGAACGCGCAGCATCTCCTGTACAAAGTCCTTGGTGAGCCACACAGGCACAGGATGGGTCTTTTCCTCAGGCATTGTGTGGGAATTCTAACCGCAGCTAAAGGTGTTTCTAAGTGCTATTGTGTCGTCAGAGATAAAAGACTAGCTTTTATATGGACGAACCGCCACGGGGGTACGTGATAACAATGATAACTTGTAGCCCAAAGATCTCCGCCGACTTGCTTCGTCATTGTCCACAATTGAACAATTTCCCGGCACGAAAATATTTATTAAGATATAAAAAGAGAGAAGCGACTCTGTCTAACGTGAATGCCCTAGGAGGAAGATATAATCGGAACTGTTAGTAAAATCCAAGCTTCACTATAATATTTTAACTTGAATACTGAATCTCGTTTATCTTTTGTAGAAAGGCTAAAATCTAGAAAAAACGAATGGCCAACTAATTCATGTTCTCAAAACAAAAAATTTTATAAAAATAAAAAGAATAACCTATTTAAACCATATTCACAACGACAAGGTAAAAATGCATACACTTCATTTAAAGAATGTAAATAATAAGCAAAACATCTAAAACTTTAGAATTATTCTCAATTTTCTTAATAGAATTTCGGATAAATTGTCCTTAAAAATAACCTTATGAAATTTTACAAACCCTTTTTGGGCACAAAACAAGACATATTAAAAAAAAAGTAAATAAGTGAAATAAACTATATTCACAAACACAAGGTAAACGAAATTAATTCAACTCATTTACAGAATGTAAAAAATAAGAAAAACACCAACAAAAGTAGAAATAAGAACTTTTATTTTCTTAACTTCTTATAAATTTCCCTTAAAGCCTTAAACGCAATTTTCGACGACCAAACTAGCTAAACAGATCATCCGCCTGGGGGAATAGGTACCATTTAATTCTCCCATTTCGCTGAATCATGGCAATTGCTGTTTTTTACAACAAACTGCTCGCACGAATAATGGCGGCGTTTGTTTAGCATGAGATTACACTAGATAAAGAGGTAACCTAGCCTTTGAATTTTATAAAATCGTAAAAATGCCTAGTCACGGTTAACAACGCTATAGAACATTCGGGGGATGTGCGCAGAGAGAGATTGATATTGAAAATTCAAGTGCTTTTATTTTTAATTTACATATCACTATAAAACATATGAAATATTTAGCAGGGTTTCTAAAAGTCCCAACCGGCGTATTCCTTCACCACATCCTTATTTTCCTTGCGGTGACGATGCACAGCGCTGGCTTCTCCCTTGGCCACGCACTTCTTGCGCTGCTCTCGCTTCTCCTTGATGTCCATATTACGACGGATGCGGTCGGTGATGACTGAAGGAGCTATGGTACTCGTTGTGGTAGAGTACGAGCGCTGGCTCCTGGCATCATTTAGCATTTGTTCGACCATTTTAAGTCTATACATTCGCGAGTTGGGATCTAAGCCAGCAACTAGATCGGGCACTTCATCAGCCTCCAGGTCATTCGAACTGATGGACCTGGCATCGTCTGTGGCAGGAGGCAGAGAAACTGAGTCTGCAGTTTCAGCTGGAATAATTTTGGGCGTTTCAATTGGAAGAGAGACTTCTTCTAGTTTCGAGGGCAAAGTTTGATCGGCAACCTCTGGGCCCACGGTCAAAGTGCCCAGGTATTGTGTACACGACTCTATATACCGACGCACTGCATCATCTGACTTCTGTGCGGGCTTGGCCTCGCTATAGAACACTTCGTTTTCCACTTGCCGGCGGCACTCATCAATCTCCACAGCTGCTGATGGAACCAAAACAGGTGGCTCCTCCTCCTCCTCCTCAATAGCCCCATCTTCCTCATCATCGCAGTCATCCTGATCCACCATTCCGTATTCCTGCAACAGATCCTGCTCCATTTCCTTGGTGAAGCCATAGCCTGTGCAATGGACCTCGGCATCCAGATCATCTTCTCGCACCAGATCACTGAACTTGGGGTAGTCCTCACTTTCATAGCCAAATTTGCGACGGAACATTTCACGCACACAGGTTACATCGCGTTCAAAGAAGCTGCAAGGAAATGAAGCTTAGCTTGGAAAGACACATATACATATGTGTAATACAACGAGCTTACAATTCAGCATTCTCATGCGAGGTGGACATCATCTGGGGGAAATCAATCAGTATGGGCTTGCCGGCGTCCGTTACCATCAAATTAAACTCGTTGAAATCCCCATGGATGACACCAGAGTTGCCTAGGCGAACAATAAGATTCATAAGGTCATCGTAGACCTGTGGTGCATCCAGCAGCTCGTGAACTTGGGTCCTTCAAAAGAGGTTACAACATTAAATAACGGTTTGCATAATTATCAATCAATATCTTACATGGGCCAGCCTTTAACGAGCTCCATCAGCACACAGTGGCGATTAAAGTCGATGGGTTTAGGCACCGGAAAACCGCGATCATAAAGCGCCGACATGTAGGCAAACTCCCTAGTGGCCGAGATGCGCGACAAATATAGCCAGGAGGCCTTGTGCCGCCGGCCGTGGTAGTCACGCTTGGACTTAACGTTCCTAAAGCAAGTTCGACCCAGTCGGTGTAGTTTGAGGCAAATAGCCGTGCCCTCCTCATCGGCTACCACATAGATGTTGGACTCCTTGCCAATGCCAATCTGGTTGCCAAAGGAGCTGACCGATCCCCGCAAGGTAAGAGATTTCAAAGCCAGGTAGTCATATCCCGTGTTGGTCAAGCGATAGCCATCATCTGCAACAGAAAGACGGGTAATAACCAAGTGAAAAGTTAGCCTTCACGGATACTTACACTTCTTTCCCCGCTCGTAGGACAAAAGCTTGTGCTTGCACAGCTCTTTGAGCAGCTTGTGGACGCCACCTGTCTTCAAATTCGCAATGGCAGCAGCCAGTGGTCCTGGCACCAGTTCGTGATTCTTCATGCCCATCTCGATGGCGGTAAGGACACGGAAGTCCTCCTTGGTGAGGTAGCGCAGCACTGTCACGTTTAATTTGCCCATTTTAACGGTATTTTTGTTGTATTTTTAAAGCATTTAATAATGTTTTTATTTTACACGTGCATGCAGACCGATAGGTTCGATACATCAGCTGTTTGCGTCATCGATAAGCTGTAATCGAAATCGGCACTGTAAGTCTGGCCACACTGCAGACTGCACTTCGTCATCAGCGCCGCAGCGAGAAAGAGACAAAAAACGAGGACATGGCTGGCGAGGATTTGATAGCCCAATTCCAGGCCCTTGGCATGAGCGAGCAGAAGGCCAAGGAGACCTTGAAGAATGCTAACGTGACCAAGAACCTCCAACTCGCGCTGGCGCAGACCGGCAGCGCTGCTTCTCTGGCCGATGGCACCGGCATGTTGCTCTACCACATGGCCACCAAACTGAAGCCGCAGACCGCTGAGCAGCTGCCTCTGCTAGTACGCTACATCGTGGAGCGTAAGCTGGACAACACTCAGCGCGTTGACGCCGCCCTGGAGTACGTGCTCAAGTGCGGCCAGAAGCTGCAGGCCAGCATCAATGTCCAGGAGCTGGAGAAGGAGTGCGGCGTGGGAGTGGTGGTCACACCAGAGGAGATCGAGCGCACTGTGCAGGCCAAGATCAAGACCAGCTATAAGGAGGCCCTGCTGGAGCAGCGGTACCACTTTAACTCCTTCAAGATCCTGCAGGATGTGAGGAGCGAGCTCAAATGGGCGGATGCCAAGTCCGTGAAGGCGGCCATCGACGTGGAGATCTTTGATCTCCTGGGACCCAAGACGGAAGCCGATCTGAAGCCACCTACCAAGCAGAACGAGAAGCCAAAGGCAGCGAAAGCCGCCAAACCGGAGGCAGCTTCCTCTGTGCAAGTAACAGCCGAGGCAGCGTCCGATGGAGCCACCACCATTGCAGAGCTGATGAAGACAAAGGTGCACTTCCATGGCCCAGGCGAAAACTACAAGACCGACGGTTATGTAGTCACCGAGCACACTGAGCGGTTGCTGAAGGAGCACCTCAAAAGGACGGGCGGCAAGGTGCACACCCGGTTCCCTCCGGAGCCCAACGGCATCCTGCACATCGGTCACGCCAAGGCCATCAACATCAACTTTGGCTATGCCGCTGCCCATGATGGAGTCTGCTACCTGCGCTACGACGACACCAATCCCGAGAAGGAGGAGGAGAAGTTCTTTCTGGCCATCAAGGAGATGGTCGAGTGGCTGGGATACAAGCCCTATAAAATTACCCACTCCTCGGACAACTTCCAGCAGCTGTACGAGTGGGCTGTGGTGCTGATCAACAAGGGATTGGCCTACGTCTGCCACCAGAAGGCCGAGGAGCTGAAGGGCTTTAATCCGAAGCCCAGTCCCTGGCGGGAGCGTCCTATTGAGGAGTCTCTGCAGCTGTTCGAGGACATGAAACGCGGCAAGATCGACGAGGGAGCGGCCACACTGCGTTTGAAACTGACCCTGGAGGAGGGCAAGATGGACCCAGTGGCGTATCGCATCAAGTTTATAGCCCATCACCGGACGGGCGCCGACTGGTGCATCTACCCCACCTACGATTACACGCATTGCCTGTGCGACTCGCTGGAGGACATCAGCCATTCTCTGTGCACCAAGGAGTTCCAGTCTCGGCGATCCTCCTACTACTGGCTGTGCAACGCCCTCGACATCTACTGTCCGGTTCAATGGGAGTACGGCAGGCTGAACATGAACTACGCCCTGGTGTCCAAGCGCAAGATTGCCAAACTAATCACGGAGCAGATTGTCCACGACTGGGACGACCCCAGGCTGTTCACTCTCACGGCTTTGAGAAGGAGGGGCTTCCCGGCAGAGGCCATTAACAACTTCTGTGCCCAAATGGGTGTCACTGGAGCCCAGATTGCCGTTGATCCCGCCATGTTAGAGGCGGCCGTGAGGGATGTGCTAAATGTTACCGCTCCTCGTCGCCTGGTTGTCCTGGAACCGCTCAAAGTGACTATCAAGAACTTCCCGCATGCAGCACCTGTGCAGCTGGAGGTGCCGGATTTCCCCCAGAACCCGCAGCAGGGATCGCACAAGATAACCCTGGACAAGGTGGTCTACATCGAGCGGGGAGACTTTAAGCTGGAGCCAGAGAAGGGCTACCGCCGCCTTTCGCCCAAGCAATCGGTGGGTCTTCGGCACGCCGGATTAGTTATCAGCGTGGAGAACATTGTCAAGGATCCCGCGACAGGGGAGGTGGTGGAACTCGTCTGCAGCAGCCAAGCTGCCGAGCAGGCCGAAAAGCCCAAGGCCTTTGTCCAGTGGGTGTCGCAACCGATTCAGCTGGAGGTGCGCCTTTACGAGCAGCTATTCAAGCACAAGAATCCCGAGGATCCCAACGAGGTGCCCGGCGGCTTCCTCAGCGACATCAGCGAGAAGTCCATCTCGGTTGTCCGCGCCTTTGCTGATCAGGCGCTCGCCCAGGCCAAGGTCTACGATAAGTTCCAGTTCGAGCGGATTGGCTTCTTCTCCGTGGATCCGGACACCACCAAGGACCACATTGTGTTAAACCGTACCGTGGGCCTCAAGGAGGACGCTGGCAAGAAGTGATTGCACCGCACAGGATCCAAAGGATTGAAATAAACTCAACAACAAGAAACGAAATCGGAATCACATTGTTTTTATAAAAACAGCTCTCTCTCTCTCATTTCTTTCCCTCAACCATGATGATGTGATAGCCAAACTTGGTCTTGATCGGGGGATCTGTGTACACGGGATTGTTAACGGTGGAGATGGGTAGAGCAAATGCGGCATCCTGGAAGGGACCAACCATTGCTCCGCGAATTTGCCAGCCAAGATCGCCGCCCTGGCGTGCCTTATCCTCGCTGTAGGCAGCCGCCACCTCTGGGAACTTCTGGCCAGCCTTCAGTTTCTCCATGGCTTCAGTAATCTTGCCCTGCTTCTCGCAGAGGATGTGGCGCACCTTTACAGCATTGCCTCCCTTCTTCTCCTTGCCGGCAGCTGCACGGGTGGAAATTTTAAATTGATGGATTGTCTTTGGCATTGGCTTTAGGTGTACTCACACTTGTCCTCTGCGGCAGGCTTTTTTCCGCCCTTACCCGCATCCTTGCCGCCGCCCTTTGCGTCTTTTTTCGGTGGCATTTTTCTTTAAATATTTTCGAAATTTATAAATTCCAATCAGAATAAACAACAATAAATTCGATTAGAGCTGCCAACCTGCTGCGGTAAACATGTGCCGGCCAGCGCTGTCAACTTAAAAAATATGTTCATTTACTTGTTGAAAATTAAAATAAAAATATATATTTTATTGGGACCAGAATATTGAGAATAATAAATAAATAAAATAAAAGACAATGTAATGCTAAAACGGTGAAAATTTTGAAACTATTTTCTGCATGCAACTGGTGTTATAGTTTCTGCCTACTCTGGTCACACTACCGATGCACTTTCTAATCAGGTTTTTGGGCAGATAAACACAATCAAAATAGATTTTAAACTTTCAGCTCTGTTTAACACTTTTTAATCACATGGAAATCACCTGGGAGATAGTTCTCTGCCTGGCCATTGCGGTGCTGGTTCACATTCTGGTCTTCCTGTTCGTCATGGCCAAGAAACCAAAGAGCATCGTGGGTCGTCATGTGGTGGTCACCGGCGGTTCCAAGGGAATCGGTCTCTGCCTGGCCGTGGAGTGTGCCATGAAGGGCGCAAATGTGACGGTGATAGCTCGCGACGAGAAAATGTTGAGTGAGTAATGATGGCGAGGGGTGCCCCACCCAAAACACTGTCCTTATCTATGATTCACTGTCCAAACCCTTGCGCAGGCGGAGCTGTGGCTCTGATGGAAGTGATACGCCAGCGACCTGATCAGAAGTTCCAATACAGGAGCCTGGACATTGGCGGAGACTACGAGAAGGTATCCCAAGTTCTGGGCGAGATTGAGGATGCCTTCGGTCCCATTTACACCCTTATCAATTGCGCCGGCATGGCCATTTGCGGGGTGTTTGAGGAGGTATCCGTTCAGGATGTGCACAAGTTGATGAACGTTAATTTCTTCGGCACCTACAACTGCACCCGATATGTCCTGCCCAAAATGAAGAAGGCGGGTGAGGGCATCATTGTGATCACCGCCTCTCAGGCAGCTATGTTCGGCATCTATGGCTATGGTCCTTATTCCTGCACAAAGTACGCACTGCGAGCCATGGCCGAGACGATAGCAATGGAGTCTCGGCAGCACGGGGTCAGTGTCACGCTGGCCATGCCCTGCGACACAAATACGCCCGGTTTTGAGGAGGAGGAGAAGTCGAAGCCACGCGAAACCAAAATAATTTCGGGCGGCGGTGGTCTTGTAGAGCCCGAGGTGATGGCCAAGGCAATACTCAAGGATGCATTGGTAAGTCAACTGTTTACAGAAAAAGTTTTGCAACTAATTAATGGATTTCCTTTCATTTTTTGCAGAGGGGCAACTTCACATCAACGTTGGGCGCTGAAAGCTGGCTGATCACTACCTTGGGCGGTGGACTGCTGCCTTGGGATGGCTTCTTCACCAATCTCCTGCATGCCTTTGTGATGGGACCCTTGCGACTATTTAGCTATGGCCTGCACAAGTACTTTAATAGCGTGATACGGAAGTGCGCTAGAGAGGATCGCGCCAAGACTGGGTCCGAGGTGGAAACAAAGTGAAAACTTTGGTGCCTTGCTGTTTTTTTTATTAAGTACAAAAAATTTCATTTGTCGTTCCACCAAAAATATCCTACTTGCTTTTCCAAATATTCAGCATTTAAATGGCTATTTATATAATGTATGCTTTTTGCAATTGCAGTTAGCAAGCTTAACATTTGACCCATATTTATACATATTTATAGTCTCCATTCGACACGCTTGGGCTCTTGGTTTGTTTGAACAAACTAAACTGTATTATTTAACGAGTTTGCTTTTAAATTATTCCATTGGGCTTTACAGATTCATAGGTTTTCTTATCACTGAATTCTACCTTTAGCATTACTGTGTTCAATTAAAAAACGATTAGATAAAACCAAAAAAGCCAAGCAAACGCGAACACGTCAATCATCCCAGTCAACCCTTTAAAAAAACAGGTCAAACTTCAGCAATTAATAAGTTTAGTTTTGGTTTCCTTGTGTCTTTCTTTATTCATAAGACGCACCCAGTATACACTTCCTGCCTATAGATTTCATTTTATCATTCCGCCTTTTAACATTTTGTATAAGTTAACGCTAACAAAAAATTGTATAATTATGATGCAAAAAATATATTTGTATATATATTTAGGCATACCTTGTTATATAGCATCTAAGCATGATTGGTAATCAAAATATATATTTGTTTCGAATGCAAGTAACTCTACTTTTTGGATAGAAGGATCGTTAATTAAAATATCTTTACGTTTAGGATTAGTTTAGGATGAAGTAAGTATTAAATTAGACTGATCTCGTATCGGAGGTGGATTTACAATATATAGAAGTTGCATTCATTGCAAATAAATAGAAATTTAAACAAGCATTATTACGTTACACAATAAACAAGGTATCTTTTTGCACAAAACGCCGTACGACAACTCAACAGTAAAAATGAAAAATGCTACACAAACTCAGGCCGAAAAAGGAAATAATAATATGCTGCGATTACAAAAGCCAACAAAATGATGGGGCCAGCTTGGTTCTGATGATGTTCTGCCCCTGCTTCTACTTCTGATTCCCCTTCGGACTGCTCGTCGGTAGCCTTCTCTCTAGTAGTCCTCAATTGCAATTATCTGCGGTGGTTTGATGGACGATCCTGCTGCTGGCGACCCCACATCCTTGGTCGCGGCGTTGTCGCTGTTTGTTGATGATGACGCAACGGCAGAGGTAGAGGCAATTGTTGGATCGCCCGCTCCCGCTGCCGTCGGTCGTGTATCCGGCGTCTGTGCGGCTAATTGTCACTTCGCGTTGCCCGCCACAGAACCGGGTCCGGCGCCCGCACCCGCCAGGTCATTGACACGCTGGTAGCGGGGCTTGTTGCGCGTGAAGGGCAAGTACTTGTACTTGATCATGTGCTTGATCTGGCGCTTCATCGTTATGCAGAACAGCGTGATGAAGTACATGACCAGGATAGGCCAGAATACTGGCACGTTGAAAAAGTCGAAAAACGTGCAGATCACTCCGATGAGCGTGCTCTTCGTCACCGACAGCCAGAACTTGAACTCGGGCAGGCGCCGGATGAAGGGCCTGAACTCCTCATTGCTGCGTGTTGGCAGGTTGGGGCCTTCATCCTCGTCGTCCTGGGAATACGGATCAAACTCCGGGTCGATTTTTGGTGTGAGAAAGGCAATGAACAGGTTCAAATGGTAGATACCCAGCGCATAGCACACAATGTACCAGCCCTGGTAAACGAAAATGCGTAGAACGAAGAGCAGGAGCAGAAAGCCGGCGAATACCCAACGCATCCGCGTGTGCGGTGTGCTCCGGTCCAAAGTGGATTGGTAGGTCTGCAAACCAAAGGCAAATGCTTAGTCGACGAATCGCCTTTTAATATTTTCGAGCAGGATCTTACCTGTGAGAGGCGCTGAAAAAACTTCTTGACGCCGCCTCCGCCGGCGGCGCTGCTGTCCTCGTTCATCATGGTCGTTCCGCGCTAGCCTCTCATCAATCTCCGGCCCTCGCCTAGTTTGTTGACTTTGACGTCGCCGCTGCTCCCGCTGCACACGTGTATCGATTCGGTATTGGGCCTCCGGTGGAGACAGCGAGAAGCGGCTAACAAAACACAAGACAGGCAAACTAGCAACAATCGCTAATTATTCTCTAATTCATATTCGTCGCCTTCGTCTTCTCTTTCTTCTTCTTCTACCTCCTTGTTGTATGAGATTGGCGACTGTCAGTGTGTTGAGATAACTTATTCGCAGCGCCTGCTTGCCGATGCTGGAGGATTCGTGACGAAACAGAGGCTGATCTGGTAGCAATATTATGCGGTAACTAATTTAATTACACTAGAGATTTGTCGGCAATTTATTGTTCTTTTTTCACACACAGACTTCACCACGTCATTATGTGTCAAATCAAATACGCTCTCTCAGCTCCAGTGCAGCGAATTAGACTTTTTTTCCCCTTTTTCATATCTGGCTTTTTTAGAACCAAGAAAAGGCAAGATATTAAAATAGAGCAGGATCTTTGGTTTTTGTAATTTTCGTTTGACTTGTGTTCGTTTCAGAAGACAGGAAATACTTGTATTTGGTAAATGCATATATAAAAAAATATTAATACATATATTCAGCTATTTTTCTGCATGTTTTGACGGAATTCCATCTAGCTTTTTTATACCCAAATTATTGGCCGCACTGCTCTCTCCGAGGATGTCAGTGTTAGGCAGCTGTCAATACAGTGCTGCCACCCAGTTTTTTTTTGTACTTCCAAATTTTATTAAATATATTATACTATATATATTCCAGCCATGTCTTTAAGAAAAAATGTAATATGACTTAAATTTTCTAGCTATCAAAAATTATTTTAAAAATTTTATATTTTTAATTTTAAACTTTATTTGATTATTGATATTATTGACTAATAGCAGGAAAGTTTTTTGAATTAAAATTAATATATTTTTAGCTTATTTAAAACTTTGAGTTTCCCAAAATATTATTACATATTTTTCCTTGGTATTCTAGGGCCAATAAAGCATAATTGTTAAAAGTAATATTTTGATTCGTTATGCAAATGTATTAGCTTTATAAAAATAAACAGCACTTTGTTATTTTATTTTTAAGTTATTTAGTTATTATATTTTTTAGCTTTAATTTTCCAAAAAATTATCATATCAAATTATGAATAAATATTTTAATTTCAGTATTTCTTTGTGGGCTTAAGGGGGGTAAGGTTAATTCGGTGCAAAAATGGCCACTTTTCAATAAAATGTTGTGGCGAAACGGCTAAAGTTAGCTTAAAGAATTCAATACCATATAATAACACAACATTTAAACAATTTTTGATAAATTTTGTATTGAAAAATATTTAGAGGTAGAGGAGTTATAGGGAATTTCGCGAGTCGCCTCCAAAAAAAGTTGGTTTGCGGTGTACATCTGCCCACAGAATCATCCGATCCACGAAAATTTTGCCTCATTCGTTAAAGCATAAGTGTCCCGAGGTATTCACAAAGCGTTTTTATTTTTAAAATTTTTTCCCGATTTTTTATCAAAATTAAAAATTTAAAAAAATTAGTTAATATGTTAAATAACAAATATAATAAAATTAAAAATTAAAACAAACTCGACGTGAGTACCTGTAGAATTACCTAAAGAAGCTATGTTCCAAATTTCAAACCGATTGGTCTAATAGATTTTGAGTTATCGTGTACACCGATTTTCAAAATGGCATTTTTCAGGAGAGCGCTTTAAACTTTGTGATTCTCATGCAGTGAACACCAACCGACCTTCGTTCAACTCCGCATAACATCGTCAATTTTACTATGATCGATGTAAAACTTGGACACAATATTCTTAAGATGTTGAACTTTCAAAATAAAAAAAAAATTACGAAAAAAAAAAAATTAAATACCTTACCAGTCAAAATCTTACGCATTGAAGGAGTCATTTCCGACCCTATAAATCAAATACGGCTGAGTGAATTTAGGCATGTCTACAAGAAAAATAATATTAACATTTTTTTTTTAATTTTATAATAATATTGTTAAAATGTTCAAAAATTGGCAAACATTTTTTTTAACCTTAAGAACCGCTTTCAGTTTTGATCGATTTTAAATTTGGGCCCCTAATCAAATTGGAAACTGCAAGAGTATACGTACTACGGCTTCCAGAAATGTATAATTTTAAATTTTAAATGTTCTATCGCTGGATAAATATACTACATAAGCAAAGCAATAAAAAAATAAAACATTATCATAAATCAACCTAAATTTACACTTTTTAATTTTAGTGTGTCCATAAATGTATTCCCAACAATTGTTTACATTTTTTAAATAAGTTTAATTTTTTATTTTTATCAAGGTTTTTTTTTGTTACATGGAAATTGTACCTTTATTTAACAATTCCCGCGATACTTTTTGTTGACAAGACTTAAAAAACGTAATTGAAAACATGCTACATATTAGGTTTCTTCCTCTCTACTCCGTGGTATCATCCTGCTCCTCTTGCTCTTCCCGAGAGTCTTCCAATTTCCTGGCGCGTTCGATGCAGGCATTGGCCTTGGCAAGGAACAATGACGCAATCTCCTCCTTTGCGAAGCGACAGGCTAGCTTCTCCACAGCGCCACCGGTGGTGATCTTACCCTCCGCATCTGCCGCAAAGTTGTGGCCAGCCCACAGAAAGCTCTTTTTCTGGCCTCCCATATATTCGAAATGTAGGGATCCGGTGATCTTCATGTTGAGCAGCAGCTTGTGGACCTGCTCCTGACGCAGGACCAAGCGGAACGTCTGCATCTCCGGATGCTCCAGCACTTTCAGTTCGCCGCAGCCTGTATAGAAACAATTTTTTTTTAATAAAATGCACTACTGTCCACCTGGTCTACTCACCTCTCTCCTTCCACGCCTTTGAATCGCTGTCGTAACGATAGAGCTTTACTCTCTCGCCAAACAACTTAGTCTCGCTCTCTTCTCCAGTGGTAACCACAATCTCATCCGGCAGTTCTATAATGGGGTCGTACTGGGGATCGTAGTTGTCATCATTGTTTGCCTCGCCATCATCGCCGTCGCCGCCATGTGACCCGCTTCTGGCGCTGTCTGACGGCGACTGAAAGTTCTTGAATTCGTTCTGATGCGTCAGATTGTAGAAGCCACCAGTGCTGGACTTGTTGAAGCCGACGGGAGTGCCCTGGCTTTTGGCCGACAGATCGGCAAAGTCAGTGCCAGCTTTTTTACCAAAATCAACAAAAGTTTCGGCCGATTTGCTGCCAAAGTCGGCGAATGTGGCGTTACCAGTATTTTTGAACAAATCAGTGGCTGGCAAGCCAAAGGACAGCGTTTCCTTCTTTCCTTCCTTGGCATCTCCAGCGGCAAAACCAAAGCCTGGGAACGTTGTACTCGCAGGGGATGGCTTATCCTCCCCTTCTTTAACCTGCTGGCTCAGGTCTGCAAAAGATGATACCGGTTCCTTTTGTCCAAAGATTGGAGCATTCGATCCACTTCCAAAAGCAAAGCCCGAGGATGGAGGTTTGGCTCCGAAAACAGAGGAAGTCCCGCCAAAGATTGACTTGGGCACTTCGGGTGCGGTGATCGATGCTGCTGGCTGCTGCTGCGGCGACTCAATCTTGGCACCTCCAAAGATGGACTTGGACTCTTCTTTCTGCTGCTGCTGTCCACCGCCGAAAATCGAATTGGCGGAATCCCATCCCGAACTCTGATCGGAATTGTTGGTGCTGCCAAAAATGGAGTTCAGGACATTGCCCTTAGGCTGCAGGTTGCCACCAAATAGGGGTGCTGTGGCTGGTTTTTCTATGTAAAGATAAAGGATAAAAACAGGACAAAACTAAGTTCAAAAGTGCAACTCACCCGCGTTACCGAATAGAAAAGCTGGACTGCTGGGCGCCTTGTTTTCCCCGGAAACAGATAGATTACCGAAGGCTGAAAATGAGTTGGTGGCACCCAGTGAACTGGCCTTGAATATTGAGGTTGCCGGGGCAGTGGCGGCCGTTGACTTGGGAAGCTGAAGGGCTGGTAAAAACATGGGCAAGGGCGGGCTCACGTCATCTGTCTGACCACTAACATGTGAGGATGAGCTTCCAAACACAAATTTATCCGGAGAGCAGCCACGACAACCGGGGCAGTTGCTTGTTCCTTGATCCTGATCCTTATCCGTCTCGCCAATGACCGTCGTAGAAGTAGTGTCTCCATTATCTTTGATCGCTTCGGCAGTTCCATTGAGCGCGTTTTTTACGGCCCTGCTAAACTCCTCTGCTACATCGTGGTTCTTGAAGCGCAGAGTGAAGCGCTCCAGGACACTTTCCCCTTCACTGAAATCATGGGCGGCAAACAGCAAGGACTTTTCATCCTTCGGCTTATACACCACCTCGTTGTTCAGCACGTGATTAAGACAGATCTTGAACACTTGTTCTCGGCGCATGACCACACGCAGCTTCTTTGTCTGAATGTGACGCAGGATCTTGACATCGCCCAGCCCTCGCTCCTTCCATTCGCCTTCTGTAAGGCGATATAGCTTTGCGCGGTGCACATACAGCAACTCCTCGTTCTCCTCGCCCGTCTTCACATCGATCTGCAACTCAAAGCTGGTTAATAAAAGGTTAAGAACTCAACTGAAATCATCTTACCTTATCGGGCAATGGAATCACTGGTGCAAAGTAGGCATTGTTCTCTTCCTCCTCGTGATAACCATCGTTGTTGTCCTCGCCATCGGCTGCGGCAGGACTCTTTGGCTGCTGCTGGGATGGTTTCGGCATCGAGAAGCTGAATCCTCCTCCGCTGGACCCAAGTGAAGCTGCTGGAGCTACCACCGATGGAGCTTGAAAGTTGAAGGTGGAAGATCCAAATACACTGCTCTTCGCCGCCTGGTCCGCTGGCTTAGCTCCGAATCCAAAATTGAACTGGGTAGAGGCTGGCAGAGTGAGCCCAGAACCCAGGGCATTCTCCTTCTTTGGCACTGTGTCATCCTTGGGTGTCTCGCAGGCGCTGCAGTACAGCGATTCACCGGTATTGCTCACATAGCAAGCGCTGCAGGACCAGCTGCCCGCTTTGGGCTTGAATGCATCTCCAAAACCGGATGTGGTTGGGGTCTTTACAACAGCTGCCGATTGCAAGGATGGGGCTGCAGCAGGAGCAGAAGATGTGGCTGTAACGGGAGCAGCTGGTTTCTCCTTGGGTGCCCCAAAGATAAAACCACCCGGGGCGGGCAAAGAAGCAGGTGCAAATCCAAATGAGAATTTACCGGCAGAGCTGCTGGTGGACAAATTCAATGCACTGCCTTGATCCAAGCCTGGTTGCTTCGGTGGCACGGTATCATCCTTGGGCTCCTGGCAGGCCAGACAATACAACTGATCCTGACCATTGCTAGTGTAGCAGGCCTTGCAGCTCCAACTGCCCGCCTTGGGCTTGAAGGCATCCCCAAAGCCCTTGGTGGGCTTTTCCGGTTCCTTTTCTGCTGCCTGCTTTTCTGACGACTTGGACCCCTTGCCCATGCCCTCTTGGGCTTTTTTCACTGCATCTAGAAACTCCTGGCAGGTTTCAGGCGTCTTAAAACGCAGGCACAGCAAAGCGTTGGTCAGCTCTTCGTCGGCATAATCCATCGATGCCCAGGTAACGGCCGACTTTTGGTTCAGGGCGAACGTAAACTTTGTCTCCGGCGTCAAACGCTGGTTGCAGCATAGCTTAAGCACCTTGTCGCGACGCATCAGGAGACGTACCTGTTCGGGATTGGTGCGATCGCGCAGAACCTTCATATCGCCCAAGCCACGTTCCTTCCACTCGTTCGATTCCTTGTCGTAGCGCAGCAGCTTGGCCCTGTGCTCGAAAAGCACCTCCTCGTTCTCCTCCCCAGTAACCACTTCCACCAATTCCGGCAGGGCAATGACTGGTTCAAACTGGGCCGTGGGCTCGTACTCCTCCTCGGCATCAGAAGTATTTGTCTTTTCGGGCGTTGGATTTTGCAGAGTGTTGTCCTTTATCAGGGCCGTAGTGAAGAGAGTACTATTGGTGCCGGAAGTATTGGAAAAGGATATATTGCCGAAGGGAGAGGCCTTATTTTCAGTGCCCAGTCCTGAAAAGCTAAAGTTGGCGAACGGTGAAGGAGCCGCTGGGGTAGTAGCTGGAGGCGCAGTAACCGATGAGGCAGTACCAAACAGTGACTTGGCGAGGGAGGGTTCCGTTGCCTGCTTGGATTTCGTCTGCTCTGCGGACTTGTTAAAGACTGGATTTGCGGCTGCCGGAGTGCTGGTCACAAAGCTTTTGGCCAGACTGAATGGAGCCGGAACTGGAGCTGCACTTGGTTCCTTGCTGGCCTTGGCTGGCAACTTTACCTTGCTTTCATCAGTCGCATCGACAAATGCCACCCGGAACTCCTCAGCTGTTTCTGGTGCCTTGAATCGCACCAGGAACTTCTCCAGCGTTAGCTGCTCATCCGCAAAATCATTGGCTGCCCACAAGAACGACTTCTTGTCCTTGTCCTGGCTGGGTGTGGACAGGGTCATGTCCGCGGTGATTGTGTGATTGGCACAAACCTTGTGGGTTTGATCGCGACGCATGAGGACGCGTGAAACTCCAGTGGCTTTATCGCGCAGGATCTTTATCAGCCCAGTGCCACGCTCCTTCCACTCCTTGTCCACATACCGGAAGAGCTTGGCTCGGTAGCTGAACTTAATCTCCTCGTTCTCCTCTCCAGTGCGTACTTCTATCTCATCGGGAAGTGGGATAATGGCCTTGAAGTCGGGTCGCGGATCATAGTCTTCGTTTAGGGAGGAGTTACCCTCTGCCCCAGCACTCTTGTTAAGATCACTGGCTCCGCTCTTGTTAAGCTCCATGGCCGCCGCCTGTTCAAGCTCTTGCTCTTTCTGCTTTTCGGCTGCTGCCCTGGCGACTTGCGTCTTGAAGGAAAACGGACTTTCGGAAGCGGTATTGCCCATATTAAAGTTAAACACTCCCGAGGCGGGCAGAGTAGGTTGTAGCGGCTGGGACTGTACATGCGACTGTTGCTGGGTTTCAACCGTTGGCTGTACCAGGCTGGGCTTGATATGCTGCGGCGGAATGGTTACACTTAGAGTGGGCTGGACACCACTAACAACCGTTGGCTTAGGCAACGGATCTGAGCTTGTGATGACTACATTGGCTGGTGGCTCCTTTTCCACGGGCTGATTGTTCAATGCTCGGTTAAAGAGCGCCGGAACGCTGGTAGGAGCTGGAACTAAGGCTGGCTGAGGCGCCACTTGTGGTACTTTATTAGGAGCAGGAACAGAGGGAGCCACCAAATTAACTGGAGCGGGAGTAGGCACGGAAGCAGCCGTAGTAGGCGCTGCAGCTGCTGCTGCTGGAGCTACTGCCAAGGGCTTGGTCTGAGGCAGTTGAATTCCTGACACTCCAAAGGCTGGTGGTGCTGGCGAGTTGAAGAATCCGGGAGTGGGCAACGCTGGCGGCTTAGCTTCCGCCAAGTTAAGAGGAGCTGGAGCTGGAGCCTGCTGTGCTGGCTGAGGTGGTGGCGGTATTAGACTTCCGGTTGGTGGCTGGGTAAAGTTACCCATGGGATCCATAAATGGTGGTGCTCCTGCTGACGGTGGCGGAAAGATGCTGGGAAGTCCATAGTTGGGATTACGGGGACCTACAAATCAAAGCTTTAGTGGAAATTCAATAGAAAGTCAGGCTTTGAAACTTACCAAACAAATTGGCGGGGGGAATAGCTCCCGGCTGAGGCGCTGGTGGAGTGCGCATAAACTGTGCCTGAGCCTGGGCAGCATAAAAGTTATACATTTGGTTTTGATTAAACATTGGACTGCCGTATGGGGCCGGCAAGAAGCGATCCTGGGCAGAGGGCGTATGACTCTGGACACCGTTGTAGAAGGCCGGATTTGTAGCACCGTACTGATGTGGGACCACCTGGTGAACTGCAGCCTGGTGCTGCTGCTGCTGCTGCTGTTGTTGTTGTTCCACCAACGCATCCTCGATAATAAAGAGATCATCCAAACCCAAGGCCGCTGCAGGATCCACATCGCGTGTTGGCGCTTCCAGGTTGCTTGAAATCTTCATTTTCTTGATCATTTCCTCCAGTCCATTAAATCGCTCCGTAAGTGTGGTTATGTCCTGGTGCATGGATGCCATATTATCCGTAACCAGGCAGATCGACTTGCTGATCTGCTTAAGTGTCTGCTCTATCTCTGCACTGGGCTGGGCCACAACCACGGCAGATGTTACCGGAGAAGCAGCACTCATATCCAACTGATGACGACGCGATCTGTTGGCGGACAAGGAGGCACCCGCATAAAAGTCATCCTCGGCATCTTCATATGTTGAGGAGTTGTTGTGCAAATCCGGGGTACCAAAGCTGTCATCGCCACCACCCTGATGCTGGCAACGCCTTAATTCCCTTTGAATAACCGAGCTCAGGGGATGTTTGCCATCATTTCGGAGCAGCTGCTGGGTCTGCTGCAGGCACTCTTGCCTCCGCTCCGAGTAGCGAGTCCGAGAAGCTCGATTTGTCTTGCCGGAATCCTCCAGCAGGCGGTAGGCTTCAGCCTGTAAATATGTCGCCATGGGAAGGTCTAGTCCTCGCACTTCATCCACAAACTGATCATACTGTCCAGCCTTGAACATCTTTCCGCTGAAATAGGACACAGCGTGCTCGGCCAGCGATTGTAGCTTGTTCCAGGCCGCCGTTGAGCTGGCCGATCCGTACTTAAAGATGCGCACGAAGGGCTCGAACTGATGCTGCTGCTGATACCGACGCAGCATGCTGAATCCCTGGCGGTAAAGAACATCAATTCGCGACTCCAAAGAGGACCGATCGCCGCGCGATTGCAGAATCTTGCCCAACTGAAAGATGATGATGGCATCTGCCTTTGGTCCATTTACACCACGCACAGCTTCCAGCCCAAGTTGCAGCTGGGCCCGTTGTTCGCCCCTGTTGGCATCAGCGGTCATCTGCTGATTCCTGTGCAGGCGCAGCACGATATCCCACCAGCTGCTCTGCTCCGGTGTCGTTAATTGACTCAAAAGATTGGCATATGGCATCATGTGGGGACGGGCAGCTGCATTGCGGTTGCCAAAGTGTGAGCTGTCGTAGAGATTGCGCAACAGCTCCAATTTCCGCTGCGTTTGGATAACGGTGGCATACAAGTAGAGGTCTACGTCCAACTGGGAGATGGAGTCGTGCCCGCAGTAACTCAGGTTCTGCTTCACATCCCGGCGGAACTCTTCATAAAAGAGGACGCGCGACGCTTCGCCCAGGCTGTCGATATTGGTGCCCAGGGCGAGGTACACATGTTGGGCCAAGGATCGTGGCTGTAGCAGCAGCGCCTGCTGCTCGTACGTCTCAATCTCGGCCAGATCGGGCCACTCGAAAACGGGCGTCTGCAGACGCGAATGACGCACCAGATGCGACGACTGTTCTTTCAGCTTGTGTTCGGCATGGGTAAAGAGCGTCTGGTACAACTGGCTACGCCAATTCTTGTCCATGCATTGCTGGCGGGCGCAGTTGAGCAACTCTTCCGAGTCACTAAATAATCCTGACAGAGGCTGCTGGTTGTTATTCTTCAAATTCTCCTGGTCCGTCCGAGAGCGGTCCAAGCAACCGAGGAGAATACGTCCAAGCTGGGCGCAACGGAAGGAGCCTTGCTGGCGCCAGAGCTGCAGCAGCTGCTTCTGCTCAGCATCGCAGTGCTTCATCCAGGGATGAACGTGCTGCTCTTGGAGTGGATGCACCTGATATCCAAGGAGCAACAGCGGTAGCATGCTTCGCAGCACGCCCATCCACTTATTCTTGTTGCCTAACAGCTCACGCTTAAAGAGCAGCGCCACCGCATGGAGCAGCAGCTGTCCAGCATAATGATCCACGCAGGATACATGCAATTCCCTCAGCGAAGCATCACTGGATCGATCCACCACCGTGCTGAACTTGTGTAGATACTGATCGAGACGGAACAATAGGCTGCTGCTCTCTGCCAAAGCATTGCCGGCCTCCAGGCTCAGTTGCATAAGACGATCACAAGTGTGAAGTGCCAATTGCCAGAAGCGCCAGTCCTTGGAATTAATCTTGTCCTCCTTCTTTGAGAGCATCACCCAGACGATTCCGTACCATTCACTGGACTGACTGGTGCAGCCACTGGCCTCCAGTTCCACTTTGTAAGCGTACTTAAAGGCCTGGTCTAACTGGTTCTTCTCCACGTAGCTGCGCATGAGACGCACACGCACATTTACATCCTGGGGACGCGCCTGCAACTCCTTGTGCATGATCATCTCAAAGGCATCCTCGTTGTCCCTCACCGAGCTGCCATCTCCAATGTCGCCGTTGCCGTTGCTCTCTGTAAGATTCACCCGCATTCGCAGGGAAACAACTGCCTCGTTGTCGCTCAAGTTCTCAGAGCTGGCGAGATCCAGCCAGTATTTGGCACATTCCTTATTGAAGATGCTCTTCTCATCGACCAGCAGCTGGCAGACTTCTTTGATCACGTCTGCCTGCCGCGGATTCAGCTGGATGCAGCGCTGGTAATGCTGCAAAGCCCGCTGCAGATCCGGGGTTTTCAGCAACTTGTAGCTGTTGGCAATCAGTTTGTGGGGCACAGCCTCATCTTTGGCTCGGAGATAGCTGTTAAGGTATTCAATAGCCTTGGGATACTCTTGTATCTTATAATATAGACGAGCCACCGCCAGACCCTTGATATCGCGCTGTGGATGAAGATTTAAATAGTGGATAAGTGAAGGAGAGTAAAAATATTAAAATTAAATTGTGAAAACGAAACTAGAAGTGTTATGTGTACGTGAAAAATAGGGCCGTAAAAGGTAAGTACTGAAAAGTAAAACAAGAAAGGAAGCTAGCTTCGGCACACCGAAGTTTATATACCCTTCCAGTTTGGATCAGGGGACCAATTTTAAATCTATCATGACTAAGCCAAAAAAAGCATTAAACTTCAATCGGAAAACAGTTTTGTGCTAGTTTTTATTACGTTAAAAAATCTGCATACTTAATTTAATATTTAAGAATATTACAAGAAAATTCAATTTTGGAGAATTTTAACGGTGTAACCCCTTATAAAATTTTTAAAAAAATTTACAACACTTTTTTTTTCTATTAGACCTGAAGATTAATTTGGCTTTCAATGCTGATTAAGAAAATATATTATTTGTAGATTCGGAAATACCCTGCAAGGGTATAAAAATTGAATTTGCCCTAAATTCATGAAATTCGTAGCATAATATAATATTCCCTATCCTATTATTTTCTTTATCATTAAAAACAAGTTAATCTGAGAACAGATTAAAATCTCTTAATATATATGTACATACATATGTATACACATTTACCTATTGTCACAAGACAGATTGTCAATAAAATATGAATTAAAATGTATAATCAGATTTTAACCGTTGGTCATAGGCAGTATCTACTGTTGTTGTAAAACAAAGAATACATTCAAATTAGCCGTCTGCTAACCGGCTTCATAACCTCACTTTTCTATTTTGATTTTCCAAGAGCACAACACAAAACCTTGAGACACTCGAAGACAGATGTGTTCGTGCATTATTTTCTGGCACAAATCAACAATATGCATGGACTTTAGAAAAGCGCGCAATTTTATTTTTCTAGTACACACACGCCACTCAAGTGACGCCGACTCGAACACGCACACACGCGCACAAACGGGCGCCGCACGCATACCAAGGCGCGCTGTCAATGGCGGCGCCGTCGATTTCGCAACTGCATTTTTGGAAATTCCGATGCACAGACACTTACCTGGTTCCCAGGCGGTATGTTGCCCAGAATCTTGTGGACATGCTCGTCCACCTGCTTGCGCGTGGTGAACATGTTTCTTCTGTGTTTTGTACGCTTTCAGCTTTTGAAATTAGTTTTCTCCTCTCAAAAATGTGCTTGCACTCTGTCTGGTCTCGTCATCCGATCGACGCGGATTTCTCGCACGGTAAGGGGCCAAGACCAGGAACGCAATTAATTCTGCCTTGGCACACAGAATTGCAGGACGTTGCAAGGCCACTCGGTACAAATCAAATCGTATATTTGGTTAAAGGCCGCTTACAAAATTCGCGCACCAACAAAAATTCGCAACACCGGGAACCGAGAATTTTTAGTGTGACCGACTTTGGATACTAGCCAGTGGGACCGCGCTATTGTCGAATAAAAAACCTAAAAATATCAACATCAGTTTAAAAAAAAGTGGTTAACTTTTCTAAAAAAACTCTTCATTGAAGGTGAATTAATCAAGCGCTAAATATATTGACGTAAACTTATTAAAAATCTTGCTTTGATGAACGGAAAAATAAACAGATTACAATAAAGTGGTTACTGTGATACGAAAAGGGTGGGAAACTAGGCTAAACATATATTATTAAAATTCTGTGTTGGAAAGTGTACCGAATAGAGTTGCCACAGCTCCAGCCGATGGGCCTTATTTAGTACATTTCTGCCCAAGTTAAGTTGGCTGCGATTTACCCCACTTCCTTTTCCGTGTTAGCTGTGAAAGAAAAAACATGCCGGTGGGTGCCAAATTACGTTAAAATTCATTTAAAACACAGAAAAATCTCTTGAAACTGAACCAAAACCGGGCAGGACCCACCGCCAAAGGGTCTAGTGTAAATGGAGAGAGTGTTGGCTGATTAAAGAGCCCGTAGAGGCACTCAAACAGTTGCCACAGACGGCGGTGGCAGATTTGCGTGTGTGTGGTGCGGCGGCCACGCATGGCGTGCGCCTGTGAAATTGCAAACAGTTGTGAAATGCAAGCTTGCTGATTTATTCTGATGGCTTATGCCAAGAGTTGCATGGAATGCCAGACGGAATTCGCGGAAGTCATCATACATAACCTAGAATCGTGAATTTGGCGAACTTCTTGTCTGTTGTTGTTGCCTGACTTAGTTGCTGGTTGAGATTTGTTGATATACGGAGAAAAATGGTCCACCCATTTTCATTATGGTTCTTCAATTAATTAAATAATGAGCAATTTCATTTGTCACCCTAAATAAACAAGAAATCTAAAGTTGTGGCAAACTATTGCCTTCTCCAGAGCATCTTTAGTCTGTTCCTGAACTAAGTTCCTTATTATTTATATGGCAATCAAATTATTAACTACAATTATTTTGTTATTTCTTGCAGCTAGCAAAAGATCTTCTGCACCCTCTGCCCGCTGAGGAGAAGCGCAAGCACAAGCTGAAGCGCCTGGTCCAGCACCCTAACTCGTACTTCATGGACGTCAAGTGCCCCGGCTGCTACAGGATCACCACCGTCTTCAGCCACGCCCAGGGCGTTGTGGTCTGCGCTGGATGCGCAACCATTCTGTGCCAGCCCACTGGAGGACGCGCTAAGCTGACAGAAGGCAAGTTACCATGTCCTATACTCAACCAGAATATCCTATCTAATGCAAATTTTCTTTTTGTCCTTACAGGCTGCTCTTTCCGCAGGAAGCCACAATAAAATGGGACTCGCGATGAACCACAAATTATTAATTTTTTAATAAAATCTATAAAACGTAAAGAAACCACAGAACCGATCCGAAAGAAAGCCTGTTGTAATTCAATTGCTGCGGTCCTTTGGTTCAATGTGCTTTGTGAATTAAAGAATTAACGATCTTGTGGTTGGCTACGTGAAAAAAAACAGTTCTTGTCGTATTTGTTTATAGTTGAGTGGATGTTGATGATTGCCAGCTGCGATGGTGCTCCTTGATCAGTTGGCTTCTTAAATGACCAGCAACTCTTTAAATATAACCACTGTGGAAGGAGGATACTCTTGCGTACGAGGAGGATTCATTCAAGGTTTTCGTAGTTTGTTTCCCAACCCAGTTATGCTACAAAACTTCAGGAATTTTTCACTAGTTATGCTTAGACCTAACAACTAATTGACTTCACAACAATAAAGAATGTTTCATAGGCTTTGAAAAGGAATCATTTGTCAAATCCTCTGCCTCATCGCCATCGATTGAGTGAGTGGCCTGCCTTATTATTTATTAATGAAACTTTCTTTTAATAGATTTACTCAGTCCCTAAGATGGGTCTGTGAACTCAAGCTGCTTGTGAGAATAGAGCTTAGAATAAATTAACTTTCACAGGGTCTGAAATAATTGAAACTGGTTTCCTTAGAGATAAGTTTCTATTATATTTAAGAACTTGTGTTTTGGTAAGTTTGAATTTAAACAAAACAGTTCGCAGATTAGGCAAAATTTGTTAATTAACCTCGGTGCTAATATATTCTGACCCAATTGCAGGTCCAGAAACAAGGGAATTCATTTAAAAAGCTTCAACAGAACAGGTTTAGAGAATTAAGTCTGAAAATTGTTCTGCCAAGTATTTAAAAGCACAGAGGAGCCTAATTGTTTGGCAATAAGTGTATTCCAAGAAAAACATTTTTAGTTTTTTTAAATATCGCGCGAAAAGACTACATTCGCGGGATAAAAGAATTTTCCACTCCCATGCCACTGGTCACACTGAAAATGATCATGACATGGGCAACATTGCCAGATCGTCCTTGCATGAGCGACCAACGTTGCCAGACTTATCGTTCACCCCGAAACATAAGGGGAATTCGATAATTTATCGGAGTAGGCCCGCGAATTTAAACTGATTTCGGCGAAAACTATCGAGAGTCGTCGAGTATAGGAAAAAATGCAGTGTGACCATTGATCACTATCTTGAAATAAAGAAAATATACTAGAAATACCACGTTAGGGCGCTAAGTCTGAATTGGTTGAGCATTTATTAATATTGGAATCTCTTTAGAGGTTTGAAGATTGCGTGCCCGAGAAATGCAAATGGCCTGACAACATATCCTGAGAATTGGTTGGTTACTCTTCCATAGGGATGGCGGCACCTACAATTACAAGTTTCTCAAGATTTTGAATTGCCAGTTTCTTAAATTAGTCCCAAAACCAAAGGGTTTGATTTAAAGACTATAAATTTATATAAAGCTTATGCGTACAAATATATTTACAACTGTAGAATGTACAGAAAAGCGCTACTGGCACAAAAGTCTTATAGAGCACACACTGATAAAAGTTTTAATATTTTCCATTCGTCACATCGTTCGGCGAGTCATCTTTCCCTTGATTCTGGGCCGCCTCCGTCACAATGGTGAGGTCAGAGCTCGATTGCTCTTTCGCATGTCTGTGGAGAAAGGGAACAGCACAACGATGAGTAGTGTACAGTGAGGATGTTTATTACTCAATACTTATTATATTTAAAATTGTAATTGTTATGGGATCATTGGAATCTTATAAAATGTTACCTGTAAAACACGTAGTGCTGCAGCATGAAGAATATATCAAAGAGCACGGAGAAAAGACCCAGACCGAATTTGGTTGGATCCCCGAATATGGACGCCCAGTCATCTGAATAGAAATCAAAATTGTAGCCATAGCTCTGATCAAGCAATTATTATTCTTATGCCTACCATAGTTGTGGCCATTTAGGATCATCTGCAGCATGCTCAGCGTGCCGCCCGTGAAGTCCAGCAGGATATTGCCAATGCTCCAACCTGCGGTGCTCTTCCTGCGATAGTTCATCAGTGCCTGCGGCACATACTTAATGATGGTGATAGTTAGCTTCACGTAGCTGCAGTAGTACAGGAAGTCCAGCCAGTGGATCACGGAGCCCCCGGCCAAGCCGGCGGACACAATCACGACCACTGCAAAGATTCCCAGGATTCCGTAGGCAACAAATGACACCTTCTGCTGGCCCCTCTACGTAAAAGAAACAAAGAAATGGTTTGTCACTTTAAGAACATCCGCTTCCAAACGAACAAGTTGGGTATTTCTTATCTTACTTTATGGAAGAAAATATCAAAAGTGATTCAGGTTTAATTGCTATTGTTGATTAGGGCCAATTAATGTTAGTACTTTGATTGCAGTTTAACTTTATCGTTGGTTGTCTAATAGTTTTTTTTTCTTGCTAAAAAAGGTTCTTATTTTAATAATACGATTTAATGACAGTTACCTCGTAGATAAAGCACTGAATTATCGTAATGCTGGTTGCGAACATGGCGTGCAGAGAGAAGAACACATCATTCAGCATCACCGGATTCAGACCATGCGGATGCCGCGCCTCGTATTCGTCCTGCAGACCCTCGATGAAGTACAGGCCGCAGTTGAACAAGCTGTACAGGGTGAAGCCCACAATGTTCAGGGTAAGGAAGTCAAAGTTGAGCCCCTCCACCGACTTGCGGCGGTAGTTGATCCAGATCTGTGGGTAGAACGACACAGACCAAGCCACAAAGTACACCCAACCAAACACGATCGAGGTGTAGATGAGCCCCCGCGACTTGGCCACCGTCACGCGCACAAAGACATCCTCGAGCCTATATTTAGTGGATGAGAACAATTTAGTTAATTAGTTAATAAATAGATATCCCCTGATTCCCTAAAATATAAACTAGAATCAGTGGTTTTTTTTCTCACATTTCTGCATTTTCAGCAGTGGCTTCGGCGGTGACTTGAACGTAGCCCGCGTTCAGGCCTGTTATCACCACGGTCTGGTTCTGGGTACTGCCGGCCGGATAGAGGAACGTTACAGGATCTAGGCCCAAGTGGTTTTCAGAGTCCGTCTTCAGCGTAACCTGCACATCGTTGTCCAACAGCTGGCTATAATAGCAGACTCCATGTTACTTCTCTTTATTTTATGTTGTTGCAACTCACTTGGCAAAAACCACAAACGTCTCGTTTGAGTGCAGAAGAACGGTGATGTCATGTGAGTCGACGGTCAGTCGACTTGTTGTCTGCGCATTTCCCAGGGAAACTGTTGGAAAGAAGATAAGAATCTCCGCCGTTAGCAATACCCTAATAAGTCTGGTTGGGCAGTCATCTTACCTGTGGCCAGAAGCAGCAGCGCCAGGCATAGAGAGCTCAGAAGACGATGCATTCTCGTTTGGGATTGGTTATTATTCATTCATGCGTGAGTCTTCGTCTCCAGACCTGCATTCATTTCCCCAATGGAGCTCTGTAAATTGTATAGAGAATTAAGGCAATTGGCGACAATCAAAGGGGAATCGATTCCAGGGAATCTTGAAAACTCCTCCTGGCGACTCCTCCTCTGACTCTGAATAGCCAAGGCAATTTAAGTCGATTACATATTGACTCCCGATGGCTCTTATTCATAAATCAGAGTCAAGGGAATTTGATCTTTGGCATTTTTGTGCATTTTACACGAATGATACCTCATTGACAAAGAAAATAAGCTATACACATATATTGTTAATATAAATTTGTATCAAAAAATAACTAACAAATATACATACATATATAAAAATAAATTTTTTCATCTGTGAAAATTAGATTAGATATTCTGATCAGAAAGTGTGTGCTATTTTTACCAAAAAGGCTGAACCACATTTATCAAAACTCTCGATCTGCGTGTGCCTCGCTCCACCTAGAATTTTTTGCGTCGAGATAAAAGCGCCGAGCGAGCAACAGGTAGGCAGGCAACCTTCAACGCATGTCGCTCAATGTTACAACTTTGCAATTAGAGCAAACTTTGGCACGGCACACGATCCGATCAAGTACTCATTTCACTTTATATGGGCCACAGCAGGAAATACAGGGCTTTGTCGGCCAGTCGTAAAGGCAAAGATTCCAGACTATTTATATTGCGAGATCTTTATGGCCAGGGCCGTGACAAGGCGTTTGTGAAGAAGTATACAAAATACCGCGTGAGAACGGGCTTATCTCAATCAATGAACCTCCAGATAGTGTCAATCGCTTTATTCGAATTATTGCGCTGACGCTTAAATTGCGGCAGTACACCGGAATCTATAGATAGCCCGTAGATTGGCCAATGCACTGCGATTAATAGAGATAAGCTGGCAGGCTCAGTCTGTCAAAATTCCTATGACGAGTCATGATCAGAGTAAATGTCGGACTTAGATGACATTTATACAATTATTTTTATTAATTTGTATAGCTTATATAGTGTGTGAAAAAAACTTTATATGAATTTAACCTAGACACTGTTTAAAATTGATATAGTTTAACAAAGAAAGTTTTGACAATTTCAACTTGAAATACTTTAAAATTTTCTAAAGAAACTGATTTTGCAATAAAGAATTTTTTCATTTATGGTAAATACATTTAAATTCTTGAAGTGCCTCATCAATACTGTAGAAATTGAATATTTTACATTTCTCAGAAACGTTTATTCTTTAATATTAATATGATATTCTAAATTCTAAAGTATTTTGAAATTTAATTTTTTGGTTTTATAGAAAATATTATAAATTATAATGCAATTGTTCAATATGACATCCATACATTATTCAACACACGAGATGAGACACTGAAATGCGTCTGTTACAGCCGGATTAGAACTTTCACTGCCGACTGACTGGAAAAGCACTGCGGATCGGAGTCGGAGATTTTGGCTCTGACGTTTTGGTCGAGATGAAGTACCGGTAACAAAGATTAACGTGCTTAGAACACAGACTGTTTGTGCAGAGATGATATATGTACATACGAATGGGTACTCCCCGCACTCACCGACGTTAAAATTAAAGTTAAACAATGCCTGTTAATCTGACAATTAACTGGTAGCGGCGCGATCCGCTGGCGACTCTCTAGCGACTGAGCGCGGCGCTGATGAATGGAGCCATATAAGTATAAATATTGGAGCGCAGTCGCTGCGCAGTCATCGCCGGCAGCGAACAACAACAATCAGCAGGGGAACCGGCGCGCGGTCTTTTATTCAAACTTTTTTGTTGCCTTTATTGTACTTTATTTTTTGCACTTGAGAAGGAACCCCTCATCAACTGAAAAGGTACTTCATCGAATCAATATTTTGACAACACATTTTAAAGCTGGTTTCCAAAATAAACGATATTCTTTTGAGCCACTTTAAGAAATTCCAAAAAGAAGTTTACAACTTACAGCTGACAGCAACAATTTGGTGCCCAATAAATGCAACAATTACAGGCTTAATAAGTTTTCAACAAATGCCTAAAAAATAAACTCAATTCTGATTGCTTATTTCGATCGATCATTTGCCTTTGACTTCTATAAATTTAAGTCAATTAAGTTAATTGAAGCTGGAGTTGCTCAGTTAAAATTAAAAATGTATTTTGATTTCAATCATTTATTGATGATTTAACATTTATCTATCTTCTTAGGAAATATAAAATGTTGAATCCAAAAATAAACTTCATTACTATTCTTTCTTTAAATATAAGCTGGATTTAATCAGTTCAAATTCAAATTCATCTTAAGAAAAATAATATTTTAAAGCCATAAATTAACCTTTTATTAAATTCCAAAAATAAAAGAAATAAATAATATAAATATTTTGTTCTCGAAATGCATGAATGTTTCTTGATTTAAAACCTATTTCGTATTTTATTCTAATTTTCCAACTAATCTAAGCGAAATGCTCAATTAAGTTTTGTTAAAAAAAACGTTTTTCAAGTTCATCAAGCTCAAATTTCTAGGGTATTTTCTAAAAAACCTCTTATCAGCATAAAAACAGTATAAACAATTGGATGGACTTGCTGAAACTGCGAGAGTATAATTTTACTGGCACTTGATAAGGTCCATGACGCAGAATTATCAAGCTCGACTTAATGGTGTACGAGCCTCCCCCATCGGCAACTAAAAATAAGCAAAAAATAAAGCAACACAAAATATATACATACGCGATTCACTTTCTATTGTAAATGTGTTCCACTTGTGCCCAATGCATACATTTCGCAAGCTAATCGAAATCTTGGCTCGGAAATCAGAAATATTTGCCAAGTCAAGCAAAACTTGGCCAGCAACGTGAGGCCCTTATCGAAGCTTAAGTTGACGGTTCCCAAAGAGTCTCCAGGCAGAGAATTGGAATACCCCAACGAACTGGGGTTCATGTTTCAAACTGATTACGTACTAAACTGCACTCGGGGTAAGTTGAGCTGAAAACCAGTTTAATTTGCACAAGTAACAAACAAACACTTGGCTCAATTTACGATAACGAAAAGGGTAAATCGAACAATACACATTTCTTCGCTTAAACTAGGCACCTAAACTGTCATCTGGATTGGCTTGGCTCCCTCCATGTATAGTCTTGTCTAAGGCACTGATTTCGTGATGAGTCGATGGTTAAATAAGTTAATGGTCGGTTGCAGGACACTATACACTATATAGCTGTTGGCGAGTATGCGGTCTGATTCAGTCGTCACTTGGCCACTTCATTACTTGCTCACTGGTTCTGATTCTGGTTCTGGCCGGCGCGTCGGTTCTTCTCGAGTATCAAAGCGCGACTGAAAGCGACAAAAGAGAATGAAAATATATAACTGCGAAAAGCCTAGGCCAGGCGGTCGCTCACCGATAGCGCTCGTAGAAGCCCACAATGGTGCCCAGCTCCTGTTTGAAGAGCCGCACAAGCATGCTGTCGAAGCCCTCAAGCTCCGGCAAGCTAAACATGTTGAACTGCAACAGGTGGTCCTTGGAGGAGTCCGCCTCCGAGTACACAGCCAGCCACTTGGGGATCTCCTCGAGTAGATATGGATTGGCGGGCACCAGAGCATTGTGCGTGTGGGCAGGAGGAGCGTACAACGACGCCTCCGGACGAATGGCCTTTGGCGGCTCCGCCGACGTGGTGTAAACGTAGTAGGACGTCAGGCAAGGGTGCTGGCGCTGACACTGTCCGGTATACTGATTCTCGTAGTAGGTGCCGTGCAGCTTGGACACTACCCGTCTCCAGCCTACTGGCAAGCCCTCGCGCTCCAGCGGATGGTTCCAGTGCGTAGTGTGCGCATTGTGGTCGATATAGTACTTCCTCCCGTGCAGCGTGTACTGCGTGGCCCATCCCGGCGGCAGGGGTAGCTCCTCGGGCTCCGTGAGCGACTGCTGCGAGGGCACCTTCTGCAGTGATCCGTTGGCACTGCTCCCAGTCCCGCCTGCTACGCTGGGTGGTGTCCTGGGTGGAGCATACAGCGATTGCACTGAGGTAGAGGCGCCTCGAATGCTGCCCGAGCTGCCGCCGCGACCGCTGCCGCTTAGAGATCCTCCTCCGCCCGCATTAGGCACCGCCAAATGACCTTGGTGGTGCGGCTGTGGAACCACGGCCAGCGTGGCTGTCGACGCCGTTGTGTTGCTGTAGATCGGCGACTCCGAGCGCTGCGACTGGGTGGCGCGCATCGAGGAGACGCGGTACGGATTCTCGTAGATGGGATATGAGTCGCTGGAGTAGCTGCCGCTCAGGTGCGCTGCCAGTTGCTGGTGCTGGAGCTGTTGCTGTTGTTGCATCGGGGACCTGTAGAAACAGAAGTGGAATTTGCGTAAGAATTTAATTAACTTGAATTATTTAAAACTTAAGCAACTTCATTTAAAGTACAACTGTTATTAATAGACAACTGTTTCACAAAAATGGTTACGAAAACTTGGCAATTTTTAAAACATTTTAGATGTATACAAATTACTACTCAGCTTTCTTTTCTTGATTTTCATTTTAAATTATGTCTCACCTAGTGGACTGGTACCGCGGCTGTCGCTCCCTGATCGACATGGCAGCCGGATCGAAGCGCAGCGTGGAGCCAAAAGGCGTGGAGGCGTGCTGCTGGTGGAGCTGCGGATGCTGCTGCTGCTGCGGCGGCGGGATGGCGTAGTGGGCAGGCGAGTGCGGTCGTTGCGGCAGCTGCAGCATGTTGGCATAGCTGGCGCTGAGTAGACCCTGGTCCGCATCGTAGCTGGCGGCCGCCATGTGCGGATGCGGATGCTGCTGCCGCTGTGTGGTGGAGTAGCTGCGTTGGAAGGCACCGCCGCCGGCGCCTACTGCCGAGGAAGTGGTCTGCAGCAGCGGCGAGGACTGCTGGCGCCGCATCCGCTCGATCTGCTCGATGTTCACGTAGTTGCTGCTGCTGCTGCCCTGGCTAAGCTGGTTGCTGCTTGCCCGGAACTGGTGCGGCGGCAACGGCGGATGCGTGTGCACATGCGGATGCTTGTGGGGCAGAGAGTGCGGGAGCTGGTGCGGGGTGTGCGGCTGCAGCGGCAACTGGCTTTGGGCGCGCCGGGCATGGTAGTAGTCCGGCTGCGAGTCCGTGCAGGAGTACGTGTTCCGGCTGGTGCTCGAGCTGCGCGGATGGAACTCGCAGCTGGGCGAGGTGCTGGCGCAGCGCTGGAGCGACTTCTTCTTAGCCCGCTGGTCGCTGGTCCACACATTGATCACCGGGATCTCTGGCGGAGTGTCCTTCTTCACGTACTTCCCCACCACGCCCTCCTTGTGTGCCTGGGACTTCTCCTTGCTCCGGCGCGAGAGCATCGTCGGTTTTCGGTTGCACAGCAGAATCGTTAAATAGTTCATGCAGACTCTGATCTCGGTTCGCCGTCTTTGCTTTAGACCATTGTTGAGCTAAAATTATACTTTTGGACAAGTTTTTGTTATTCTGCGAGCAAGTGTTGGACAGCGCTCCCCTGATTTCGGACTTTTCAGCACTGCACCGAGGTGAGTGTGGCCAGGCGCCGCAAAGTGTTGGTAAGCAACACTGCTCGCCGAGTAAGTAAATCATTTTATTTTTGTATTTAAACGTTATTTAATGGTTTATTAGTTTGTTTATATGCTATATTGTCGCTAATTGGAATCAACAACAACCTACTGTTACTTAAAGTTACACATTTGTCGATGTGACAGCACAGTGCCCTCAAAATTTGTTGATGCCGGAATGACGAACAATAGCTTCGATTTCTCCTCAGCAGCGATGATGGACGTCAAGGAAGTGGTCGTGATTGTGAAGTGGAGCGGCAAGGAGTACCCGGTGGACCTCACCGACCAGGACACCGTGGAGGTGTTGCGCCATGAGATCTTCCGCAAGACCCAGGTGCGCCCGGAACGCCAGAAGCTGCTCAATCTGAAGTACAAAGGTAAGTCCTCGTCATCTGCCTGCGTCCTGTCTTAACCCACGACTTACAGGCAAGACTGCCGCCGACAATGTGAAGATCAGCGCCTTGGAGCTGAAGCCCAACTTCAAGCTGATGATGGTCGGCTCTACGGAGGCGGACATTGAGGATGCCCAGAGCCTGCCGGATGACATTGGCGAGGTGGTGGACGACTTTGACGACGCTGAGGAGCGTGAGGAGTCGGTGGAGAACTCAGCCGTGTACCTGGCCAAAGTTCAGCGCCGTGTGCGCGACTACAAGATCAAGGAGCTGGCCCCGCCGCGCGAAGGCAAGAAGCTGCTGGTCCTGGACATAGACTACACGCTCTTCGACCACCGGTCGCCGGCAGAGACAGGCACCGAGCTGATGCGACCGTATCTGCACGAATTCCTGACCTCCGCCTACGAGGACTATGACATCGTGATCTGGTCCGCCACCAGCATGCGCTGGATTGAGGAGAAGATGCGGCTGCTGGGTGTGGCCAGCAACGATAACTACAAGGTGATGTTCTACCTCGACTCGAACGCCATGATCTCAGTTCATGTGCCGGAGCGCGGCGTGGTGGACGTGAAGCCGCTAGGCGTGATTTGGGCCCTGTACAAGCAGTACAGCTCCAGCAATACCATCATGTTTGACGACATCCGGCGTAACTTTTTGATGAATCCCAAGTCCGGCCTGAAGATCCGTCCCTTCCGGCAGGCGCACCTCAATCGGGGCACAGACCAGGAGTTGCTGAAGCTGTCCGACTACTTGCGCAAGATTGCCCACAACTGCCAGGACTTCAACTCGCTGAACCACCGCAAGTGGGAGCACTACCATCCCAAGAAGAACTCCTGAACTCCCGCGGGAGACCTCACTCTGATCGCACTTGTTTGTAAGGTTCGCTTAGGTTTATTAAATTAAGATGCATTTTGTACGCAATGTGTCCCAGCCTAACATTATAGTGTGTATCCGCCCTGGTCTGCCCAGTGGACTCGCCTGGCCTCCAGGTACTCCTCGTGCAGGCGCCGGCGCTCGTCCTCGAGCTTGGCCAGGCGGCGGTAACGCTGCAGCACCATGCCGCAGCCGAAGAGGAGGGCCACCTGGCAGATCAGCCAGAAGATAAACAGGGCGATCAGCAGGCTCTGGTTGATGCACACGTTGTCCAGATGCAGCTGGTCGTCTATGCCAGCAATCAGCAGCACTCCCCGCTCGCCGTACATGTAGCTGTTGGCATTGCTCTGGTCCGGACCATGCACCCGGATATTGTAGTTGAGGGGAAGGTCCCCTTGGACACCAGTGCCATTGGGTTTGCCGGGTGCCACGTCCACCACGGTGGAAATATAGACGGGGTTTTGAACTCTCAGCTCCTCAGGACGTCGCTCCGACGGATTACTGGTCGCCTGTCGCCTTTTCCTCTGCCAGGATCCACTTGCACAGTTGCTGGGCGAGCACCGCTCCACGCAGAAGCGAATCTTTACATCGAAACTGACATTGGAGGTGCCGGAGAACTTGAAAGCATGGAAGCGGGCTCGCAGCATGCTCCTGGTGGCGGAGTGAACCCTTTCGAGAGCCGGAAACACGCTGGCATCCGTGGGACAGCCGCGCTCATCTATCAGCAAAACGTAGTTCTCGTTATCCGCTGTCTTGGCCACCAGTGAGGTAGCCCTGAAATCAGGCAACGGAGCCAATTGTAGCTCCAGATGCTCGGCCAGCTGGTCTTGGCTGTACTCCGCCACGATCTGCAGCTCCAGGTTCTGGCCAATCTGCACGTCATTGGTCTCATGCTGGTGGGACAGATCCACAATCTGTAACGAGATAGTGGGTTGCGGATAAGGCCCAGAGCTGCTGTTGTAGAGCACTACGCCCTCGTGGGGGAACATGCTGAGGAGATTAGAAAAAAGGTGATTTATTTTTCTTGAAGTACTATAGGCAGACTCACTGTTCGGCGTACTCCAACGAGGACTCCAGGGCAATGGCGCTGGGTACGTGCTCCGTGGCATCCACACTGCTGTCCTGCACCGAAACGCCAAGCGAGGTGGTAGCGTTGCTCTGGATGCATCCAACTTTGATGAGGCGGTCGCCCTGGGTCTGGACATTTGGATTATTCTGTATGACCACCAGGGCAGATATGAAGGTTCTGAAAGATGAGACATAGATGGGTTTTTGAAAACATCATTAGGAAAACAGAAAGTAAATCCTTTCATAATTCCCACCTTTGGTATGCCTGCGTCATTTCATAGGCCCGCAGGATGCCGCAGCGGTTCTCCTTGACCTCGCTGCCTATCTGGAGTGAAAGCAAGACACTTCCATTGCCGGAACCTCGGGCCAGGCAATCATTGGAGTGCATGCTGGCGTAGATCTTGCCGTTGAACCAGTCTTTCGGGTTGTACCTAATGGCCATCTCCTCGCGAGTGCAGAAGACGCGGACTGCGGAGTACAAGATGGAAAGTCTTTTAATTTTATAATAAAAACGAGTACCCACCATCGAGGCACTTGACCCGTCGCATGTAGACAGAGTTGTCGCGAAGCTTCAGGCTCCGCGGACCCAGAGAGACGATGTCCTCGGAGTGCAGGAGACACTCGGACAGGGACAGATGATTCACATAATGGAAGGAGACGCCCTGGCAGTAGAACTTGGCCTCGTGCGTGCACAGCGCCTGACACTGCAATACGAAGGGTCATCAATCACTCATCCGACTCCATCGATTGCGATTACAATCATAACCCACGCCAGCCCAAGCGCGGCGGACACACCTCTTTTTGGGTGAGGCCCAAATACCTGGCCTCCGCGTAGATGAAGCTGCTGTTGGCGTACAGCTCGTACGAACAGCTGTCGCTCTCCGCCGGCCGTTCGTGGCACTGGTTCTCCATGTACTCCTCGTCGTACGGCGCGGCCCGGAATGCATCCGGCTGGATTGTCTTGTCCCTGTCGCTCAGCATGCACCTGCCCAGGCGGGGAGAGGGACTTTGGCCAGGACCATCCGCGCCGCGGAACCTGTAGATGGAGTAATGGAATTAAAGCGGTGATTCCTGAATGCAAAAAGGATGAAGAATGACATGTCCCCTGGCAGAGATGGAACGTTCGAAACTATCTATTTTAAAATCTATAAAATTTATAATTTTACCTGCTGTTTTACCCAGAATTTACCGCTGAACCTGAACAAAGTTACCCATTTAAGCGTACTAAAAATAAACAAATTCCTAACCTATCCCATCAGTGCCCCAGGGAGTGATGTCATAATCCGGTGGAAAGCCTCGTCTGTGCATTATAAATGCACGACCAAAGCAATTAATATGTCCGGCAACAACGACAACAAAGAGCGAATAGGTCCGACAACCAAAACAGTCAATTACCGCTCACGATTGTTCCGATACGAGGGTGCAAAGGAGGCGGAGAGGCATCTGAATTGGCTTTCGAAGAAGCAGCGCTCGGCGCACTCACGCCGCGTGACCAGCGTCGGAATGGTCTTCTTGCTCTGGAACACCAGCGTGCTGCCGGGGATTTTGGTTAGCGCCCACAAACGGCCTTTGCACGCATCGGGAACTGCAAGAAATATTAACATACATACAAGTTGGAGGCGGGACAAGGTCATGTACTCACCGCGGAGGCAGGTCTTTTCGTAGAACACGGCCTCGGTGTCGGCCACCAGCGGCAGTTCCCCTGAAATGGCCAGGTAGCGCGAGGTGCGCTCGAAGTACGAGTAGCCGTGACACTCGTCCGTGTCCAACAGATGGACGTAGGCAATGCAGTCCGGATCCTCGTTACAGATGCGCCAGCAGATCTGGCTAGCCGGGAGATCCTGCTCCTGGCCATGATCCTGCCCCCGATTGCGATCCCTGAAGGTATTTCCTGATGGCGGGGGATAGATGAGGTTGTCCTCGTTTAGATACTCCAGTGGCGGCCGGAATCCAACGATTTTCTGCAGCTGCAGCTGGTGCAACGGACACTGGAGGAGCAGGGCTACTGGAGGGGAAAATGGTTATCGGAATGTCATAAATGTGGCTTTACGGGACGCGCATGACTGGAAACCAAAACATTTTTCAAATTGCTTAGTCGCCATAATGGGGATCGGATATCTATTTCAATACTTTAGGGGGAAGACGGGTAGCTACTAGCTAGGCTTGTGCACATTGTTGTGACTGGGCATCAATTAATATGAAATGTTTACGCATTACTAAGCAACGAGTAAATCAGTCAAGCATCTTCCAGGTGAAGCTTTTAGTAGGAGCTTTAAAGTAATGATTTAATAAATAAGTTTTAATACCTAAGCTATTCAATTTAAGTTTGTTGTACAATACAGCAGCCCCAGAATTGCTACTAAATGCTTAATAAAATTTACAATTCAATAAAAATGAGATATTTTTAAGGGTTTCAGAAACCAAAAAGGACGTGTTTATTTAGAAAATAATAACTTAAGATGCTTGTTTGAGTGATTTACATTTCATTTATATTTATAAAAAGCTTTCCATTTTGTAATTTCTATTATTATTTTAGAATAAACATAAATCACCAGACACTCTAGAATGACTAACTATTTTCTAGAATAACTAATTATTTTCCTAACCCTTGTCAAACTGATGTTGCCCCTCGTTTAATTGCGAATGTTTTTGCTTTCAGCCCCAGGCATTTCCTTGTCTGGGTCATTCGCGCATTCAAACCAATAAACGCTCGTTCTCAGGGTGTTTGCTAATAAATCTATAATAACAGCTGACATGCACATCTACCTGGGGGTATTCCCTCCCCACCATAGCAGCCCCTTGTAAATTGATCTAAGCAGCTTTGGTTTTCGTTTTCCACTTTGCTATTGAATGCAAATTGCAAGTGCAAAAGTGATGCGATCGAGGCATCTTCACAGCGCTCGGAATGTATGAAGCGGCTAAAAATATAAAGCTTCAAAAACCTTAAAGCCGCTTTACTTGATTTTGACCAATTAGTGACTGGTACAGTTAGGGGTAAGGTAATAGTACTGTAAATATGGGAGCTTTTTATAGCCTTGAAGGATATTATTGTATTAGTCCGAAAGTAAAAACACAGGGAAGTAAACATTTTCGACCCTATCAATCTCATAAATATGATATATTATTGATCACCTTTAATAGCTGAATCAATTTAGCCATGTCTTTAATTTTAATTTTTACATAAACAAATGTAAATTGAATGATTCATATATAGTATATTATTCAAAAGGATAACTACATATATCGTATAAAATATTCAATGCATCCATATTCAGAGCTATTATCTTGACCAGATCTGTAGAGGGTATACAGATTGAGATGAGGCTGGACTGGACTCGAACTCACCGCAAACACTCTGCTGCAGCATTAACAAAATCGCTGCAATCGCTAATTTACATAGCCACGGGGCCGCGGCTCTGGGAGCTGATTGGGGCATTGTTTCAGATGCGTTTCTGTGGTGGCCGCTGCCAATCGTTTGGCATGCTTGTCTAATAAATTGTAATTGATTTTCGGCCAGGGCCCGTGTACTAGGCTCTCATTGCACTCACACTCACACAGAGACACTATTTATTCACTGGCTTTTTGCCTGTTTGGCCGGCTTGTTTGCGGGTTATGTTTGGCACAGTTTAACACTTTCGGCACGTGCACGGCCAGTTGGCCACTCAATCGCCTGCGGATGGAACTATTTGCATATGCAAACAGCCTGGGACCGGGAGCAAACCCGACTTCAAATCAGGGGGTCCTCTTCAGCCCGACTCGGTATCCTGTCGGTGTCCACTTGCCATGAAATATAAATTAGTGCTATTCGCAGATGTGGGTCAGACAGCCGCTGGCAGCAGCAGCGTTGTGCTAATTACTTTCAAAACACGTTCATACATCGCCATGCATTATTTATTCGATTTTAAAACATCGTATGGCTGTGGCTGCGGCTTTGGCTTTGACTCCTGCCACGGCCATTAGTCGATTGCACTTTGTTTTATCTGTTTAGTTATGTGTTTGTTTAATTAGCCCGGCGATCGCTTGCAGGCGTACGTCTGACTCGCGCGGCTCTCCACTTGCAAATAGCCGACTGGAAACTCTGATCTAAGCTCTCGGCCGGGTCGAGAGATCCCTCACAGCGCCAGTTAGACTCCGGAGCGTTGCGTATGTAAATGATACCGAGTATGAGTGCCTCTGACGTACCAGCAGCTGTGCATGCAGAGAAAATATATGTGTTCATGAAAGGGAAATTAATTTGTTATTTGAATATAAATTTAGTTGATGCAGGGAAAGATTTTCCTAAAGGATGTATGTTTTTAAGTCCTTTAAATAGTTAAACAGTTTTTAATGTGAATTTTTGATACAAGATTGTTGCTGTCAATAATTTAAGATAAATAATTATTTGTGCCGCATTAAAAATTAAAAGAAATATAATTACATAAAAATTAAAAGAATAAGTTATATATATTATTTATACTTTTTATTTATCCCACTTACATTTATTAAGACATGTGTGGTAATTTTTCTATTAAAAAAGCAATAAAATAATGTCATAGCACCATTAACCAATATAATTTAAAATAAAAGCAAGAGAAGATTTTTATTTATCTTTCTTAAGATTCCTTATTTGAAGATTATCTAATCGTCTCGAGATTTCTCCAGGTGCATTCGCGGAAAAATGCTCGATCGAGCGTCGACGTCGCGGCTAACCGAGCGTATGAGAAATTTCGTGTCGCCGACATTGCTGATTAGATCGCTGGAGTGTGTCGCGCGCGGAGCAGCCACCGAATTGTTCGCTGGCTCGATTTCAATGTGCAATAAACAAAACTATTTGGCGCTAGGCTAGCTCAAAGGGAGCAGGGGAAAAGGGCGAGGCTATGCAGCGTGGCTCCATCTCGGGGCACGGTTCAGGTTGTATCTACATCTGTATCTGTATCTGTCCAGGTTGTACAAGTACCCATCAAATACACATCGCATCTAGCCATGCATGCTGCCGCCGCCGTTACTCCGTCTGTTTACACAGTTGCGCCCAGCATCGCCCAGGTTTGGATTCAATGGCACTTTTAACAGTTCAGTGGTTTTGGCGTTGACAACGTTTGTTTCCCTTTGTAACGGCTGCCGCTGCCAGTTGCTCCCGAGTGATAAATGGCTCTGTTCTGTCCCCCTTCTTGGCCGATTGTTTATTGCTAATTAGTAACAGGTAGCCTTTAATTACTGTGTCATCAAAGGGCCCCCAGATACGCAGTGTTCGTATGTATTGGCACTGTGCGTGACCTTTGCGGTTAGCACACTGGGAACCTATTGGCAAGTTGGCCAAGGTCGCTTCACTGCCTCCACGATTGCGTAGCCGTTGCCTCAGCGACCGAAACGTCTTGGTTGAGCGGCGATATGGCAGCCACAGCGGTTGACATTAGGGCCTCAGGGATTACCTAATTCAATGAGTGCCCTGTGAGTTGAGGAAGGTTCGACGGAGAGCGAGTGGTTTTCCCCCACAAAACAGGGTATGATGTATCAAGGGTATACATTTAAATTCTAAGTACTTTTCTCCACACACAATATCTTGTAAAGTAGTTAATTAGTACAAACGTTGAGGCATTACTGACAAAATTCTATAGAAAATTATACTTTTCCCAATTCAATATTCAAAATCTAGGAAGACCTAGAATTCGTTTTATTTTATATCTCATAATCCCTTTATTGTGATAATTAAAAAAACATTTACTTTACCAACCATAAAAAACGAAAAACAGTAGCAATTTCGTTTAATTTATTAACATCTGCAGCAGGGATCCCTTTCCGACTTTCGTTTTCGTCGTGGACACACTGCGTATACGTAATAATTCATAGGCATTGCACACGACATGCAATAACTGCGCAATAATTGCCCGTTGCATGCAGCTGCAGGCCACGCCCCTGCAGCATTGCCCCTCCTCAGGTTGCCCATGTAAAACTCATAAAAAAAAGGTCTTAAAAAATGTGAAACATTCAGTGGCATGACACGGAGCTGGAATGTTCCAGCACAATTGGCAGCAGGACGAGGTGGTACGAGCTTAAATTCTTAACAAAAGACTGGCCCACAACAACAAAAGGGCTGTAAGTTTATTTCCCGCCCCTTCCACCAAAACTTTTCCACACTCACCTTGAACTATAAAGCGGGGTCCGACTGTGTGGGCGTGTGAGGTGGCGAGGGTGTCAAGTGCCGCCTGAATGACGCGTAAAAACACAAGTTGCCAACAGCAAGCGGCTAAATAATAACACATATCGCAGCACGGGCTAGAGAGTTGGGCCTAATTAAAAATGCCAAAAAGTCAGGGGCGCCCCCGGAAGCAGAGGGTCGCCCCCACATGTCTGGGATGACGTGAAAGCTTTGCGGCCTGGTTCAGAGTACTCGGTCTGTCAGTTGGACTCAGATGATGCTCTGATGTTGGATGTTGGAGCAGCCAGGCGTTGCATGTGCAACTTGTCGCATTGTCTGATTCACAGAATTATGCAAATGAGCCGACGCACTCCCAGCAGGGGCTTGTTTATGTTGGCCAAATATTTAGCCAAAGCCAGCTAGCCAAAATTCATGGCTGTTCCCCAACACAAGAGTACTAAATACACGTAGGGAAATTTTAATTTATTCATTAAGTTTTTGAGTTTTTGAAGACGAAAATTTCTAGTTATAATTGAAAATAATAAAGATGACCCCACCTTAAAGGAAACCATAACTATTTGCTTACCTTACTCACCTTTTTCTCTTTAAAAAAAAGTTTAGTTACTGTCTTTCCAGTGTAGAAGTCTGTGCTCAACTTTGAGTGACGTATAAACCTACTGACTTGGCTTAGAATGTGCAACTTTGGCAGGGCACATAAGTATTACCACCGCTCTCTCAGTAGGTGTCGGTGTGTCTGTGTTCTGTTGCTTAATTGTCGCCGGAAACTTCCGTTTTGAACGGCAGGCCAAAGCTGCCGCCGGTTTGTGCACCCTTGACATCGCTCTAGCGCCATATGGCTGTGAGTCCCCCCACTAACCAACTAGCGTGTGAACTCGTTGACTCGCCGTGCTCCATATCCACCCCCGGCCACAATGGCCCCCCCAAAACGTGCCATTTGCTAACTAAAATTTATTTAAATCTGTGCCATAATTGTTTTGGGCGCCTGTTGCTCGTCGCCCTCGTTGACTTGGTCTTGTTTTTCGCTTTTGCTTTGGCTTTTTTGCTGCTTGTGTGCGCATAAAATTAGCTCCGTAAATTTATTGTTAGTCATTCGCATTCTTGCCGCTTTTGTGCTGTTTGGAGTCCGCTTAAATGTCACAAGTTGCCACAATTTGTTTAATGTGGCCAGCGGCGCCCCATTAGATATTCGGTCTTGGACACGGCTGGATTTATTGCCCCCGTAGATCCTTTAGCTCTGAAAGTGATTGATTCAATGAGAGTCCAGCCTTAAATTGCATTAAATAATATTTATTGATTTCATCATTCCGTACATAAACGAACGTTAGTTGGTAGAAACGAAAACCTGTGCTATCGAATCGCATTGTTCCTTGGAAATGTTCTCAAAATGCATTACGTAAGTGTCGTGAAGGGGATGCTATGGCCAAGTGTGGGTTTGGTAAACCGGAAATCGAGTAAAACAATGGAGGGTAATGCGGACTTAGCCAGGGTTTTGGTGCCAAGGGTCTGTTCTAATGGGATATACGATTTCTGCGGTGGCGACCCCTTTGGCTCCCTAGAATTAATGCAATTTGCATAATAATACACAAGTACATAAATACATACATAAATACAATCGTAATCGTAGTACATAGTCAGTTATAGGGTTTACACACTCGTTTCCTTCGCTTCTGGTTTTAAATGCAGACGAAAACAGATATTATTCTCCACTCTTCGCTTGATCTCAAATGATTGTTATTAATGTTCTTTGTCGGTTATAAATTTTAGCTATAATTAAAAGGTTTATTTATACGCATTGGTTTTGTTTACTACAATTGGCTATATAATTTCGTTTTGTTGCAAGCATTTTACGTTTATCCTTTTCGCTCGTAAATGTATAGTAAGTTAAAATTCCAATTGATGTTATTTTACGGGAAAATATCAACGACGGGAAAATATCAAAAGGGGATTTAAAAAATGAGGGATGAGCTACGTTCTGTCGATCTGCCGATGCTGCCACTTAATTATGCCTCCTATATACTTACATGTTAAACATATTATATATTTATTTGTATATGCATGTATAAGCGAATTGCCATTTATCGAACCTCTAGCCGAGTAGAGTCCTTCCTTACGTTACTTCACGAGGATGCGTCTTACGTCCGCCCAAAAGTGCTGATGCTGCTGAGTCTGTGTGGTGTGTGTGTGTTATCGCGAGGGTGAATTACGGTTTACATAGAAGCAGGTGCAGGTGATTCCAAGGACTCCACTCCACTGCTCGCCTCCCAAAACAAAGCCATCGCCGGATCTCTCCCACTAACATACATATGTCTGCTGGCATGTGTCTGATACGAGTAAGTAACTCTAAATGAATGCGATTATGTTTCGTACATATGCAACAACTATGAGCTCAAACTACTCTCTTTGGCCGCACGTTCCTATGAACTGAACTCCTCCAAGCCCAATGCTGTGGCTAATTCTGTTGCCGAGTGCCAAGTGGCCTGGAGTCGCTAGTGGCCATCGTCGTCTTCTTCGACCGCATTCTCATTTTTCAAAAACTTATCACATAAATTTTTATATATTTTTTTTGGGCGGAATTCTTAGCGTGTGTCGTGTGTTGCTTGCGCGAAAGCAGGGGACAGAATGAGGGGCCGATAATCGTGAGCTAATTCTGCTGCGAAAGGCTAAAATAGACGGATGCGAATAGTGTGTGTGTGTGTGTGTGTGTTGATTACGGGCAATAGCCACCAGGGGCCACCCATCCGTGCCTCAACAGCGGTGATAACAAAGGAGATATCCCGGCTGACTGGGCTGTGCTGATTGACTGATCAAATTGCTTGAGCTGCGGATGGCTGGCTCCTGCTAAAGGACGTGTGGGGGCTGTTCTTCTTTAGTTTTAGTTTTAGTTTGCTTCTTTTTTCCTACTGTTGGCATCAGCGAAATGCCAATTTGCGTGCGCTGCGCCTCCAACTATGCTACAGTTTTTCTTTGGTTTTCCCTCTGATGTTTTAGCTATCCTTTCGCTAACATCCTTCGCGGCATGGGGTGAGGATGGGGGTGTGTGTGTGAGTGATTTTGCTGCTTCTGCTGTTTGCTATACGTAGTTCTATTCAAAAACGCTTACTTGGCTACTGCACATTTATGTTTCGGTTTTGGGTTTTTGGTTTTCGGCTTTGGGTTTTCGCTGCTGCGTTTGCTTTTACTTCCACTTTCGGTTTGTTTGCAATCATAATAATAATAATATTAATTTTCCATTACAACGCTAGCGCATCCGCCTCGATGGTGGCTCGCTGATTGGATGTGCCGTCGTCCGGGGCCATCTATCTCCGTAGCCCTGTCCGTCCGGTGCCCTCTGGTCGGGTCGCTTAGAAGACGAGCATCTGATCGGCACTGCCCTCCGCGCTGTCCTCGTCGTCGGTGCCCTCGTCCTCGTCGTCGGATGTGAGCGAGGCGGCGTTATTAACCACGGACTCTGTTTGGATTTGGATGAAATTAAAATTTGCTTCGTTACGTTTCGTTCGTTCTATAAATTCATGGAGACTCCCGCATTCCCTGGGACTATGCGCTAATCTGACCCATTCGCCGCATGCATGTCTAATGGCGGTGAGCCGCAGAGCTGACCTCCCACTCGTCCCCTGTCCACGTTCTTGTCCGTGTCCTCGAACCCGTTCGGAGTCCCCTCATGTGTTATGCATGGCGTATGTGCGATATTAATAGGAAAACTCAATTACTGATCCCCTGGTAATGCCCTTCCTGTCCGGCCTGTTCCGTACCCAACCGACAACTTTAACAACCTTAAGTGCAGACTTAAATCCTGGACACAAACACAAGGACAGGAGATAAGAAGATTACGTATACGCAACGGAGTGCGAGGTGTTTTCGATACCGATAGGCCGGCCGGCCGGCACTGCGGCAACGCATAACTCAGCATCGGGCCATAAAAGCTGGCTTAAGGGCTGATATTTCAATACAGGTAAATGGCATGAGCTCAATTGGCAAAACGTTGGTGTGGTGCCTGCCCCACCAGTTCGATTGCCACGAAAGTCGTTAAAGAAATCGGGAATATTGCGCATTTAAACCACATTAATTGGCTACAACTACCAACGGCTGTAAATTTTCACCGGAAGGATTATTATGGCATTTGTGCTTATAAAGGCGAAAAAATAAACAAAAACCACAAATAATTCTTTTGTTTTTTATAAATTTAAAATATTTAAAACTTAAAAAAGTGTGCATCTAAATTTGTATTGTATTAAAATGTTGCTCTGAATACTACCAAAGTATCAGCGCAAAAAAATAGTTTTTTATGTCTCTGAAATGGGTTTTCATCTGTCCAGCTAACCGTATAACTATGAAAAAAATCAACAAAAACCACGAATAATTCCTTAGTTTTTCTATTAGTTGAAAATATTTAAAATTTAAAAAAATATATGCATTTAAAATGTTGCTCTAAATACAACCAAATTATTAGCGTACAAAAAAATAGTTTTTTATTTCTCTGAAGAGGTTTTTCATCTGGCCGGCTTACCGTACAACTATGGTTATAAAATGTTAACTAGCCCTTCTCAGGTGCATTATACAAACGTCAACTGGGCTTACAGAGGTTTAAGTGTGGCAGGTGACCAGCTCAACCCATTTTACCAGCAGTTCCTCCCTCATTACGGCATTTAGAAAACTTTGTGGGCCTTTTGTTGGGTCCCTCGCCAAATGTTTGGGTTAAGTGTTTATGCGATGCCCCCTTGGAGCACCTTTGGTCTCCCTCTTGGACCACCTCTTGGTCTGCCCTGTTTAAACCCCGGCTTGGACCAAGTACTCACCGCAGTTGGGCTTGCCGCGTGTGCGTGTGTTGGCGAACTCGACTCCGTGCTTGTCCACGCACCAGCAGACGCCCACCGAGCTGTGGCACTGGGTGGGCTTGTAGAATCCCTGGATGTCGCAGTCGGGTGCGTAGGCGCCTAATTGGTTTTCGTCGTGGAGAGAAGAGAGGGAGGCCTGTTAGTGGGGCAACTTACTGGCGGATAAGGGGCACGGATGGGGGTCAGTGAGAAGCGGCACAAGCAAAGTTGCTGCTGGATCTATTTTGTTTCGGGGTCGTGTGGCAACAAAGGGACAGCGGCAGCGGAGGGGAAATTATATATGTAGTTGGGGTTGAGGTTGGGGTTTTTTTTTTTAAGGCAAAAACACAAAAAGCATCGGACAGTGGCGGTTTCTACAGCGGGGATCAGGGTTGGGGGTTTGGAAAAGTTCTGTGTTGTTGTTAGAAGTGTTTAATTTGCTGGCTTAAAAGTTGCGTTTGGCTAAGAGATGTTGAAAAAAACGGGGAGCGAGCACAAAACGAAAGTTAACAACGAAAGCAGCGCGAAAAAAGGTTACTTCTGTTAACTGCTGGTATTTTGTGTGAGTGTAAAGAGTGTGGGACAGTGCTGCCCATTTTCTATTTCGAAAACAGGATATTCCGGCATATAACAAAAGAAGAGAGAATTAAGTGAAAAGGACACGACATATGACGAAATATAACAAGGAATTTTTCAAAAAATTAATTTGTTTTGGTAATTATTCTTCAAGAATTACAAATTCCTTTCTATTTTTGACATATGTATGCTTTTTTATATTGCTTAATAGGTTAAAAAATATTTCTTTTGGTAGATTTATTATAAAATTAAATGTATAAATCTTCTGAAACTATATGCCTTATTTTATAAATTTTCGTCAACCGTTCATTAACCACTTTTAAGGGCAATAAGGGACAATAAAAGATATATTTTACTAAACAAGTTTGTTTCAAATATATGTCCTTTTTTAAAAATTGACAATCTCGCATTCATAAAAAGGACAACTTGGCAGCACTGTCCTGGAAGTGTGTCAGGGTTTCTATTTAGCTGTCAGGCGCTTAATTATAGTTTGAAAAAGGTTCCAACGCGTGTAAAGTGGGGAGCAAAGAGTGTCAGACAAACAAAAACTAAGCGGGCCGAAAGATATGGCGCATAGCGGAGACAGAGACGGGAAAAAGAGAGAGCGGCAATGAAAGTAATGAAACCAACTGAAACCAAATTACGCTTCCCGCTTAACTCTTTGCGTTCTTTTTTATATATGTATTTTTTCTCTGGTTTCGGTTTGGTTTTTTCTTTAGTTTTATTATATTTTTTTGGTTTTGGTTCTATTCTGTTGTTGTCTTGTTGTTGTTGGGGGATAATGGGAATAAATTGGGCCCAGGAGCCCGCACAACTCATACGGATATAGAGAGAACATAGAAGTATTAGTGTTATGTAGCCAGAGAAATGTCCACCTGTACCTATCTCACCTGCAAAGTCGCCGGCGATTCTTCGGCGCACGGCGGCGCACGGACGGTCCGTCTTCTCAAAGCAGCGGCACCACTCCCGCGTGTTGATCGCACTGTCCGTGTCCAGGTCGCAGGTGTCAATGAAGGGCTTGATGCAGCGCTCGTTCTGGTCGTGCTCCAGGTCGTACATCTCCTGCAGCGACAGCTGCCCGTCATTATTCAGATCCAGGTGGCCGAACATCCACTTGGCCTCCGTCTTGCAGGCGGGCGGGAAGTGGGCTCGCGACTTTTGGCTGTGCTGGCGGCGCTTCTTGCTGTCGGCCATGATCACCGAAAACCAGTCCAGCAGGCGGTTTCCGATTGCAGTCAGCTGCTGTGGCTTGCACTCCGGCGACTTCGAAGGATAACCTGCAGAGCGAAAGACAGTTTTTAGAATTATTAAATGCAAAAATAATATATCTTACCATTCAAGTTGTTGTTCTTACTGAACTTCTGCTGCTGCTTCTCCACCACCTCGTTGTAGTTGCGCATCTTGTGCTTGTCCTCCTGGTACTTGGAGTCCTGCCAATCCACAAGGCGGTTAAGTCACGAACGAGCAGGGATATTGATATGGCAGGCGCCTCCACTCACCTTCTTGTAGGCCGTGTACTTGAGGTACTTGTAGTGCTTGTTGTCGTACTTGATCTCCTCGGGCGTGAATGTGTACTGGGCATTGATGTGGTTGTAGTGTCGGTTGTTGTCCTCTTTGTCCTGCGGGCAAGGATAACCGTATTAGTTTCACGCCATAAACGACCCGCTATTAACTTACATTCATGATCGTATTGAAGTCGTTGTTGTTGCCGCCCATGATGTTGCCGCTGTTCATCATGATGTTGTTGTTGCTGCTGTCCTTGTAGGCCTGCTGTTGCTGCTGTTGCTGCTGCTGCTGGAGGTCCTGGCTGATCTTCTTGTTGTACTTGTTGTAGCCGGCAATGCGCTGCAGCCGCTTGCCATCGACAGCCTCTGCAAAAATAACGGGGGAAAAGTGCCAAAATGGCAAAATGGCGGTGGTGAAATCGCTTGGCCAGGCCAACTTTTTGCATCCCGGCTCAGTGAGGCATACCCCATACATTTTGCGGGTGCTTTCTGTTTTCCGCTTTATTTTGTTTTTAGCATCGTTGCAGTGCTGCTCTCTCAGCCGAGCAAAATTGAAAATTAACGTGGCTGCCTGGCCGCCCCACAATGCTGGGTGGCTCTGGAAAAACAATGGCGGCGGCTACTTGTTCGCCGGCCTATTAAATATTTAACAAGTGTTTCGGGGGCCCGGCGAAAAAATATTTAAAGCCAAAGCCTTTGTTTGGTAATTGGAATTTTTAATTGCCGGCAGTCTAGCAAATCGCAGCTAGCCAGCTTTTTCTAGCATACTTTCTCGGGCGGCCAACTCCCCCGGCCAACCAAGCCTGTCACGTAATATATGTATGCAATTTATTTTGTAGTCCCGGGTCCGGTCCTGGCAGATTGCCAGGCTGGAACTGGAACTGGTGTTGGGTCTGCCTCTGGGTCTGGCCTTGCTGGAGGAGCTCATTATGCTGGCGGAGCATTTGATTCTGGTTTGGGCCAGCACTGCCGCCTGTATTTGTTCGTTTCCCCGTTTGTTGTGGAAATGGAAAGAAAGGAGGAGGGTTCCTGGGACTTACCCTTGCAGGGACAGAATCCTTTGCAGGCGATCCGTATGGACGTCGAATGTATGCAATTGTGATAATCCAATCTGCATAGTGATGAGTAGGTCCTGTTGTCGGCGCCGCACAGGAACGTCGGCTTGGCCACAGGACACGGCTTGCAGTTGCTACAAGAGGGCGAAAGTCGGGAGTTAGGAGAAATCAGAGAAGTAAACTCAGGGGGCACAACGGCAACAAATAGATGACATGCAAAATTAATTTTTATGCAAATGAAGTCGGCGTCCGTTCCATCCTTATCTCTGTCCACATGTCCTGACTCTTGCCAGGTGAGCGGAGCTCTGCTTATACATTTATTTAAATATTTATTTAATATTCGCTGCACGCACGCCCGGGCAAACAGTCGAGCCATGAGATTGGCCAGGGGACCAGGGGCGTTCAGGACTGAGACTCTGAAACTTTATTTAATAATTTGAGCAAATATTTAAACTGCCTACAAGGGGCCATTCTCATAGCTTTATGTCGAGCTCGAGATAGAGGTCCCGGGTAAGCCCAATTCATTCCGAGAGTAACACTTTAGACCATTTTAATTACCCGCAAACGGAGGCTCCCCTTAATCCTCTGTCAATCAATCAAAGCTCAGCCTTTGGCATTTATTTTAAAAGAAAATCACACCCTTCAATCATACTGCTGTCTCCTTTTTTATGCTCTTCATTTAAAACCAACAAAAAGATTATTTCAATTAATTGATGCTCCCGCCGCTACTGTTCGTTTAATAAAAAACACTTTGCCGGGAGTTTTTTTTGGAGCATGGTGTCGCTTTAATTGGCCAGCAGCGAGTTCACACCACCAGTCCCCGCCCGCCTATTCCATAATTTTTATTCACAAATATATGCACGAAAGACTCACTTTTTTGCACGCCTCTCGGTATAAAATGAAATTTGCACAATTATTCGGGTTGTATCTCGAATGAAAAGCAATTTGCCTAATTGCCCCAATTCGGTGGCTATAATTAGAGGCTTTTATTGAACTTTCTTTTTTTTTTTTAATTTTGGGAAATTATTAATTGAAAATTTGCCTGTTTTGCCGGTTCAAGCTTAGCCCCAGAATCGTTTTGGAGCTCAGTTCTACTTATTCCTGGATGATGTCGTTTCTAAGCCATTGTTTGCTCTTGCTAAATACATTTTAAATAAACCTTGGATATTCCATTACTTAGTGAAGGGGAAAATAGCAAGAAATTCAATAAAAATAAAAAAGAAATGTTGGATTTGTCAAAGGGATTCGGTTATGCCAACGATTTAAACTGACCAATTCCGTTGCGGAGCCAATGTAAACGTACCGATGGCCAAAACCAATGTAAACATATATGTGTGAAGGATATTTGTAGCCAGTCGCTCCTTCACTTCTCGCTTTTAATTAAAAATTCTCTCGCATGTTCTTTTGCACGCTTCCGCCCCCGCTTCAGCTTTGTTTGCGCTTCCCTCCGCCGAATTGTTTATACAAATTTAATGAAATTCTTAGGGCCAGTAAATAGTGAGACGAATGAGCCTGTTAATTCGGGACCGACGTTTCGGCCACAGCCAATGACAGGCCGCAATCTTGAATGGCCTGCGCAGCATCTGCGGTTGCTTTGAGCAAATTGCCCATCAACTGACGCTGCCCACATGCCGGCTCCTTGTCCCTGTGTCTCTGCGAAAAATGTGTAAATTTTTACTCAAATATTTGCTTTCAATTTTGCAACCCAATCCCTGGGGGGCGGTCGAGATTCGGGGGATGCCTCCCGCTCTGCTCTGGCTTTTGCTCCTGCTCCTGTTCCTGCTCCTTCAGCTGCTGAAGCCGACAGCTTCATGTGCATAGACCACAAAACAGCTCAGTGGTCTCGAATAACTGCCGGAGACAGGCATCGCACATGGCACATCGCACACACCCCCACGCATACACACCAAAAGCTGAGTTGTGGCAGGTTTAGGTGAGATCTGAACTATGTGCCCCATCCGAGCAAATGCCTTCATGGAATCTCAAAATGCCATTCAGGCCTCAACTAACACTGGACCTCGTTTATGTACCTCAAAATATAATTTCAAAATATATCAAACATACATTTTGTGTTACTTAAAAGAAATCGAACATCATTAAATGAAAAATATAAACCCTTTGGCAGTTCTTGAAGAACAGAACATCATCAAATTCCCATTTCAATCAAAAAGTAATATGAAAATCCAATTTGCGCCCACTGTGCGCTGCTGGCATATTGTTGCAACAAACAATGCTAGCCGCACACATGAGTTATGACTCGATCCCGCTCTCCAGCTGTGTGTGTGCTCCGTCTTTGGGTCTTTGGGAAGTGGTCTATTAGAAATGCCCCCTCCCAATGACCCCTTCGCCAAGGCGGGCCTTTGTTTGACTTGCGCCCCGAATGGAAAGACGAGAACTGGAGCAGCTCCTGCCGCCATGATGCCATGATGCCACTATGCCATGATGAGTGGCAACCGCCGGCTCAAACTATTGATTTTGCCCGAGGCTCGGCGTGACACATTCATATTTCATGCCATTGACATAGATACACAAATGCAGGCATGGCGACGGGGATTTTCGGTAAAAGGAAAATTGAAAAGGAAAATTCGTAAACACAAAAGCGGAGGAAAAAATATATGTCAAAAGCCATTGTTAATGTCATCGCTGGGAGCACAACGAATCCCCTCATGGGGCGTCATGGTCGGGGCGCGTGATTTGCCTATAGATTGATTTTTACACCCCAACACCCGCACAGTCGCTCACTTTGCGGTGGAGGAGCAGTATAAGAAGGATGAGGTGTGTGTGTGCGGCCAGGGGGTTTGCGGTGTTTGCCAAGTGGATTTTAATTCAATTACAAACGCCCCGAGGACACAGGACTCAAACAACAACAACAACAGCAACAAAGCTCTGAAGCTCTTCAGAGTATTCGCCGAAATTTTTACATTTATTTGCACAAGAATTTTCCGAAATTAATTTTTCATTCTAGAAATTACGTCAAAGGATGAAAACGAAAACTTTTTCGGCTGTTGTTCCTTCTTTTTCTTACCGCCCGGCGAGTGTCAAGCAGCGAGCATGAAATTAAACTTTGTTCAAACAAAAGCTCAACTGATAACCGGGGGAAATAAACAGCAATCGGAGTTTATTTTTATTTTTCCTAAACACACTTTGTGGGTACTGAATTTCAAAGGATTCTCAAGTGGGGCAAAGGAAACATGTTTGCCAGAATTAATGAGAAAGGTGTGGTAATAATTATTGTGCTAATATCAAATATAATTATTAAATAACTTAAACTTAAAGTCAAATCATGAATTAAGCTAGCTTTAAGTTCTAGAAACTTTTCGTAAAATATGTATAGGTATTGAAATTGATGTGCTCCGCTCCTTCGGCACTTCACATACCAATTTAAGCCCAAAAATTTAACAACGGAAATCGACGTTGCCAACAACTTCATTTCGCCGCAGGGGAACAATCGCTACCCTTCTGTTGTGGAAAGCCAGGCCAATCGGGCCTTGACACCGACTCTGTTCGACTTTGACTTCATATCCAGGGCTCTGCCGCTGCCACACCTGATCCTGGCCTGCTCCTGGCGCCCTTTTTTGGGGCCCTTCTTCGAGGCGCTGCTCGCGTGCGAGTCCACAATTTGGGTTAGGGTCAAAGCGATAACACGGAACAAGTCAAAGGATCCGACGACGGCACGCGTCAAAGGGTAAAGGCCGTAAAGCTGTCGTTGCGGCCCGTTCAAGCAGTCAACCAGTCAACCATTCAGCCATTCAGGCAGAAGTATGCCAGCTCCGGCCAAAAGCCAGAAAGCCCGAAAGCCAACAACGATAACGGCCAAAAGGCAGTGAAAAAAACAGGCCAGGGACCAACGTCTGCGTGCTAAAAATTGTACCACTGTAAATTTATTGCGGAATTTTTATACACGATAAAACAATTTGTTATTAGCATGGCGGCCGTGGAAATCAGGGGTAATTCGGATCGTGGCAGGGGCGGATGTCAAAAGGTGACCTACTCCGACTCCCTCTCACATCAACCCTTTTTTGTGTACGCGAATTTGCTTAATGAAATGTAAAATCCCATTCAAAGGCAAACGCAAAAAGTTCCGCCTATAAGTTAAGCACTTGAATGCTGCACTAAGAGAAAAACAGAGGGAGCTTCTACAGAAATGAAATAAAAATTAAAGATAAATACCTTATAAAAAATACCTTAGAAGAGATGTCAAAGAGGAGTCTTTTGAAAAACAATAAGTGATTGAGACTTAACGATTTTCAGAACCTTACATATACATCTTTCCCATATTTCTAATTACGATATCATAAATTTCCTTAAATAACTATTAAACTATTGTAAAAATAAAAGATTTTTTCAATAGATCTTGGCTTTGTCCCTTTTTCCTGCAGGATTTGCATGATTTTATCCTCAGATATAACCGACTTGGACAGGAAATAATACCAAATTGCTGAAGAATTTCAGTGTACTCACTCCAACTCCTCGTCGTCATCCTGCTGGATGGCAGAGGGTCCTGCTGGTGGCTGGGATTGCTGCTGCTGCTGCTGTTGTTGTTGTTGTTGCTGAGGCTGCTGCTTATCGCTGGCGGCAATGCTGTTCTCATAGAAGACATCGTCCTCCTTGGACTCGTCCTCGTCGCCCAGGCTGAGGCTCTTATCTTCGTCGTCGGTCTCCTCATTGCCCTGGACATTGGCCTGGACGGGGCTGTTGCCGGGACTGCTGTTGCTGCCGCCGTTGAGGCTGCTATCGCTGCTATTATCCTCGTCGTCGTTGTTGATGTCCTCCGTATCCTGGCTGTCCTGGTTGTCCTGCTGGTTGACACGCCGCTTGGCCTCCTCCTCCAAGTACTTGGCCTTGCTGATTATCTCATCGCTGAAATGATGGTTGCCCACAAGAGCGGTGTTAGTTTAGAGCGCCGGCGGCGGCAAAAGACCGCAAAAGTTTCAATTTAATTGGCTCATCAGGCCTAACAACAGCCATCAGGGTGGAATTTGCCCAGCCCCAACCGAATCAACCACCTACCGGTTCTTGTGCAGCTCCTTCTTCGACACGCACACGGCGCTGAACTCGTCCTCCAGCAGGCAAATTTCACGCTTCTTGCAGTTCAGCGGTCGGCAAAGGTCACCTGCAGGCGTTAGAGTTTAATTTATTAATAGCTGCGATAACACACTGCCACCCGTTCGTCCTTGGTCCTTTGTGAGGACCTAATTGGACGCAGCCAGCGGGCAAATGGAGTGTGATTCTCTGGGCTTACTTACTTGAGGGATCATGAATCCAGCGCTTGTGCTCCCCGGTATTCTTGTTGCTCTGCGTGTTTTTGTTTATCTGGAAAAAGAGAGCACAATAAATTGCACGTGAGACAGTTGCTAGTTTAATTTTGTTATTTAAATGCATAAAAAATGCAAAGCGCATGCAAAGGCAAACTGACGTCTGTCAAAATTCACACATGCACTGGCAACCGAACAACACAAACACAACCCATTCAGACTCACTGGGGTATACACACACGGGGCACACACTCACACACACCGGCTCAGCTGTACACAGGGCGTATGCGTAATGGCAGTTCACGCAAACAGGCAAGGACATTGTGGCATTTGCACTGCAGGGAGGGGCAAGTTAAAAAGCAAACAGTATCGAGGCATAGGAAAAAAAGTGCAGGACAGGATTTGTGTGTGCCTTTCTAATGATGATCAATAGTTCATCTGTTATGGCAACAAATGGAGCTGATGGGATGTGACTACAGATGGACGATTCAGAGATTAATCCATGGAGCGTGCTCGGAGTCATCAGACGGAAGGAGAGCTTTTTGCGACAAATACCTAAATTGCTTTTTGGATAAACGAGAACTGTGTGCAGTCGGGCTGTGAACCGGAAAGGCCTCTGCCTCCTCCGCTTTCAGAGAGAGTGAGCATATGCAAATCTGATTGAAGGCTAAAAATATGGCAACACACTCACTCGCCTTGCTTAGTTATGCGATACTCCGCTCTTTGCCGAGCAGATTTATTTTAATTTAATTCAATTCAGCACGCAGCTTAAGCGCACATACACAAAATCACCGACAAATGGTGTATTTTGTACTACTCCCCCTCCCACCGCCCGCTGGGCATTGTGAGGCGAACCGAAATGTTATTAAGTGCAATGGTGCGTATGCATAATATTTAACTTGTCTATAAAATTTATGACGCACTAACAGCATCTGCAGCAACACAAATAGCTGCCGCTGCTGCTGCTGCCATGCCACCTCTGCTGCCGCCGGTTAAATGGGGAAAATAAGCTGCGAAAAATAGCAAAAATAAATTCCCAACCCTCGCTCATGCCCACGTTGACTTGACAGTTTTGCAATGGCGTCCTGGCCACTCTCTGTATTCTGTATCCGGTGCCCTGTGTGCCTGTGCTGTGGGTTTGTTGTTCGAGTTGCTGTTGCAGCAGCTGATACTGCCATCGCTGCTGTCAGTTGGCTTAATGAAAGCGACAGGAGCAGAAAAAGCTACAGCAAAAACAACATCTATAGTAGCAGAATGCTTCGAGCCTTTTGGATGCCAGCGAATTCCGCCACAGTGATGTCCAGTTCTCCTTTATTCTATCTTGAACTCTTATCACATTCCCTAACAATTTAAACAGAATTACTACATCTTTTAAAGCCAGTTTTGTTTGTTCTACTTTCTACTTCGGTCGATTTTTCCTCATTTAAAAATAACTTAAAATAGGCCAATCTGTAGTGCTATTCTGCTTTTCACCGTGCAACACGCTGATGCACCCATATAAAACAAGCCAACGCGGAATTGCTCAAGTGCGAAGTGGCAATTGCGGGACACACATCTACTGGCAACGCACCCAATGGCCACGCCCCCATACCACTGTCAGCCGCCCATCCTCAACCCATTTCCACCATCGGCCAACTGTAATGCAATAAACTCGTCCTGGACGTGGACGCAGGCAATTTGCATGCGTTAAAACGCAATTTGTGCGCGTTTCCTGGCCGCGGTTGCAGCATGCCTGCTCCCTTTTTCACCCATTTTCCAAAAGCCCTCTTCGCGCAGTTTTCCCGCCTTTTGGGGGATTCCGTGGAGAGTCTTCATGGCACCGGGATCTCTTACAGCTTTAATGCTCTAGCCTTTGATTGCATTGCGTGAGTGCACAGGGAAAAAATGTTAACAAAATTAATGAAATCTGTAAGGTAAGAGTATGGATTCTTATTATATACACTGGACGTTTTAAATGATTTCTTTTACATTTAAAAATATTTGGTAATTTAAAACTAGAGCATTTCCTAGTTTATATTAGGAAATAGTTATTGCATTGTATTTTTAAAATAAATAAATAATGGACACACAATAAAGCCGTATCAAACTATTCGTTATAGGATTATGGCATAGCAGGATATTGAAGCCAATGTCTGCCACAAGGGAAATGTAAGTGATCCTGTGTGGTTTTACTGTTTTTCCCCGTGTGGCTCAATGTGTATGTGTATGTGGACCTGCGGCCAGGTACGTTGATTGGGCAGGTTGGGAATCCGTGCGGCTTGCTCCTGTGGCACTCCGTTTGTTGGCTTTAATTGCACTGCGTTTGCTGCGGTGGCGGTGGCATTGGTGGCCCATTGGTTGCCCTCGTCGCTGGTCTGGATACTCTAAAGGTGCTGGTGGCCATACGATTGACCTTATTGTGGCTTTTGGCGGGGGCGCGTGATAAAACAGCACACAGCTGTTGCAACAGTGACATGACCCACCAGCATAACATAATATTTAAAAAAGCAGCTCTCTCCATCATCCTGCGCCACTAAACTGGGTCAGTGTAGCAGCTGGCGGGAAAACGCAACATAATGCAACAGCAGCCGGATGGACAGGGCAGGGAAGTTAAGTTAGGTATATGCCGGGGCCACCCGCGTTGAGTTTTCCGGGGGCGGAAGCCCACCCGCGTTGTTGGCCAAAGTTTGCCAGCCGTTTAACCTCTTTGCAAAGATTTCTGGCTGTTTAAGTGGCTGAGCTTATTAAAGCCCACTTAATTGGGCTCCTCCAGCGGCGCCCGGCAAGTGCAAGTCTTCCAGCGAAACTTGACCCTAATTTGGAGGCCCCGAAGGAGCTTCATGCGCCCGGCTTCTTGCAAAATATTTTGCGCGGTTTGCTGGGGAAAAGATAAAGACGGCATTGTTACTGAAGCCATTTTTGTTTTTCCGTCACTGCAGCTTGCCACGCCCCACGCCCATCGCCCACCGCCCTTAGCACGTTCCGACCCACATTGTACCCCCCTTTTTCGCCGCAGTGTGGCAATCTGTCAAGCTTTAAATTGAATTTACGACTTTGTTTTCGTTGCGGGCTTATTTCATCTTCCTTTGTTCGCTGCCCGTGCAATTTCTTGCAATTTCTTTATTGTTTTCCCCATTTTCCCGGCCAGAATAGCAAACATTCTTGTCGTTGCCCGGCATTCGGGGACTGCCAATTTCGGCTGCATTATGTAAATGTAATTTTTAAGTTTCAGTCCCGAAATCGATATCTGCCGGCGATGTCCTAAGCCCGCCCCAAGTCCTTTGTGCTCCATTTAATTTCCACTCATGCATTGATTCATACGGATTTCAGTGAAATCGATCGTCTATATATATGCGTGAATCCCCATGGCACATAACTCATTGGCGCATTCAGCGATTCAGCAATCAGTTCGGCAGAAGGACCAAAAGGAGCAAAAAATTCACATTAAATCCGCATTTCCCCGTAGCCATCTATTTTGCAGTTGAAATTTGGGGAAATTGGAATTGGGCGTTGCTCGTTTCGCGCTGGAAATTGTTGTAAATTATTCAGCGGACATCAAATGACTGCCAATGATGCGGTTGCTCTGCCTTCGCCCCACCCCGTCTCCCGGCCAATCAATAAAATATGAACGCGGTTTGGGGTCTGCAGCGCCATAGTTTTGCCGCAATTAGAGCGCAATAGATTGGAGAGGCAGGATCTGGGGTGAGAGGAGGAGTTGGTATCTCCATTGATATGCTAAATAGAGGCCCGCAAAATGACCAACTGACTGACGACTGAAGCTCCGGCCTCTGAATTATGCACTCCACTTGAAAAATGCATTAGCTGGGAATTTATGTGTCTCTATATATGGTAGTACTACAGTACGTGTGTCCGTGTTCGTGTCGGTGTCCCCAATCCTCGCAGGCCATCATCCATGCTGAGTCAGATGGGATGGCATTCAGGCTCTGGCGGGCACATAAATTGCACATTTTCGTGCACACAAAATGGTAAATCAATTCCTATTACTATTACCGCCCGGCTAAGCCGGCTGTCCGGGCTCTGGGCTGCCACATTTCCGGAGCCGTATCCGTAGTCGCATCCGGATCCCGGTCCGGGTCAGCAGGAGGCTGGCACAGGAGCAGGCACAGGCGCAGGCACAGCGGGTGAATCCATCAATATATAGCTTAGATCTGACGCTGGCCCGGGCTTTGCGAAAGTTCTGAAGTGTCTTTTTGTGGCCCCGAGTGGGGAAGTGGGAGCGGGCCTTTGGGCCAGGAAATTGCATTCTTCGGGCCAAAAGTGTCACGAGAAGTCGAGGCAAACAAATCCCCGGTCTGGTGATGGGAGCGGGAGTGGGAAAGTTAATTGCTATTACCCAACCCATTGAGGAACCACCCGCCATTAGTTGTGGGCGCAGTTGGAGACTCATTAAATGAGCTGTCAGTGGCGCTGTCACATGCATAAATTATACAATAATCTCATTTTAATGGTTAATTAAATTACCATAACGCTCAGCTGTCAAAACGGACATCAGATTGCGGGCGGGGGCCGTGACCTGGCGGCGAGTGATTCGTTAAAACGGAAAATTGCAAAATTGCAGCGCAAATATTTGTGTCGGAGGCAATAAAAAGTATTATGCGATTCGTGCATTAAATAAACCATGGCGTGTCCCCGGAGCTTCGTGCCCTGCCGGCAGGACAATAAACATGGGGCACCTGGAACGTGCCACCAGCAGGTGAGCCAGCAGGAGCAGGATCCTGGCCAGGCCTAGCTGTGGTGCATGTGTGGGGCGTGGCACGGGGGCGTTATGTTTATGCATCATAAATGCATTCTGCAGCTGCCCGGGATGAAACGAAACCGCATTGCAGTCATAAAACATTCGCTACAGCGGCGACTACAAAACAGGCAAAATTGCAACAAATTGCAACTGGCGAGGGTAGGAAAAACACAAGAGCAACATCCCGGCGAACAAAGGCCACTAAAATGTGCTTACCTATGTGGAAGAGATACTCGTACACACCGCCATCCGCCATCCGCCACATACAAGCTTGCAATTCGTATTTATAAACACGCTCGCAAAAAAAGGAGGACGGCACTCTA